TTATGATCATTTTGGGGTGACATTATAACTTTAGTGCTATTTTCTCCGTTTAATCAACCTGCGTTTACCATATTATCGGTTAAAGTTATAAGACTCTATAGTTGCTCCAAATGGCCACCAAATTATGAGTGATCATGTATGTTATGGGCGTAAAAGTGTGGGAAAATCCAGCTGCTGAATAAGAGACGTGTGTCCTCAATCTGTGAGCTAACCTGTCGATAGCATGCGTAGCTTCTGCCTCGTGCCGGACAGAAATCTGTTCCGTTAGCTTGTTAATGACTTACCACAGACAGCAGGAGCAGGCAGGATTACACCGCTAACTGCTAGGCAGCTGTCGTCACACAGACATTAGCAGATAAGTGACCTCCAAAGGGTTGTGTGGAAAAACGGTTGTTTCACAAACAGTGAAAGCAGTGATGATGTTCCTCTTTTGATGAACTGACTGAAAGAATATAAAACAGAATATAAAAAAGTCATGTCAGGATCATGTTCAGTCAGCTAGTCATTATAACAGCATGAATCCCTTTTAGCTACATTATCCCAATGTCATGTGATCTACTTCTGGCCTAGAAAGAAAGATGAAAATGTTAATGTTAAGTAAAGTTAAGAACATCAGGTGTTAAATTCTGATACTTTATCATTTTGATAGAGTGAAGTATGAACCGTAAACAGGTTGTGGCTTTTCAGAGAGAAAGCTGACCTTCATTTTACTATACTTCCCGGTCTCTGATGGCTTAAGCTGACACACACACACACACATTTATGATACAGGTCTTCAGGCTTCCTTAATCCCGGTCAAGCCCCTCTGGGAGAAAATAAACAGATTTGGAACATGAAGGACAAAAATAATTTAAAAATAACCTATCCTTTAAAGACACACAAATCTAATTTCTGTGAAGGCTTAATAAAGCATCTATCTATCTATCTATCTATCTATCTATCTATCTATCTATTGATTTTGATAAACCAATATCGATTTTTAAATCTCAAGATCTTTATGCTATGCTTCCGTGGTAAGTTTTGCACTTTGTTATTTTTTTTTTTATATGAAACTAAGTCTCAGCTTTAAAAATTTTGGCAATTATATCAGTCATGCAAACAATACATACCGTTTTGACAGATCGCTGTAGCGCTTCAGGTCAAGGGGCACGTGACGTGAACCAATCATCACTTCCGCTTCACTAGCTGAAGCACGAAGTAAACATGAATTTAATAAAAAAAAAAAAAAAACTTTCCGAAAAAAAACAAAAACAAAGTAAACATGCATGAAGAAAGTAGGCCTATGTTGCTAGAAAAAAATACAACTTACTGAAATGTATCGTGTCTCATGTAATTGCCCAATCAGTGTTTGAACCGCGGAAAGACGTCAATAAATCAGCTCATGTCAAAACGTAACGTTACCTCAGGAAAATTTACTTAAATAATGAAAGCATCACTAACATGTTAATTTGATTAAATCCGTCATGAAATCGTCATGAAAACCTTTTAATGACAGCCACCACTTAAATGTTTATATTTCAACAACGAATGAGTATAAAACACAATTATAATAGGCTATTAAAAAGTTTACATATTAAAAGTTTTTATTTGAGTGTTCATTAGCCTTAAAATAAATAGCTGAATAACTGAATTTAATAATTTGGACTCCTTTGTTAATTTTAACCTTTAATATTATGTCCCAACTGACAGGGTTCCTTTTATAGTTTATGGCATTAGTTGAGAGATTGTTTTCCTTAAGAAAAATTGACATGTAGGCCTACTTTCGAATCGATGTCAAATTTGTGAAACTATTCTGTGGTGGAAATGTCACTTGTGACAGCTGTCATTTTTAAATAGGCTAATGTATAGAAATAATTTTCTCAAAATAAATATTTCCTGTGAAATGAAGCACACAACAGATGGATCCTTCGTGGCCTGGCCTACCCCAGAATTTTTTGTTTTTGAGAGAGAAATTGCCGAATTACACTTTTAAGTGCAAGTATTGGGTTTCAGCTTACTCAAATATCTAATGACACGAATGTAAGGGTGTGTGTTGTTCACACTTGTAGTTCGGTTCGCTTAGCGTTCAGATTGGCATTTTTATCACCGAACCAAAAGATACCGAACCTAAAGGCATTGGGATACGTTCACAACCTGATTGGTCGGCTTTTATGACGTAGGCCTATTGCCTATTTTGAGACAAAACTTACCGAACATCCAAAACAATGCTGTGTGCTGGGATAAACGTGCTTGTTGTATGTGCGTAACAAGTGTCAGAAAAGCGTCTCCTCGCAGCAGATCTTCGTTTGTGTGTGACGGAGGGATTCCTGCTGCAAAATACCAGCCAAAATACCATAATATGTAGGATAATATGGTATTTTGGCAGGTATTTTGCAGCAGGAATCCCTCCGTCACACACAAACGAAGATCTGCTGCGAGGAGACGCTTTTCTGACACTTGTTCTGAACTGTGATGGGCAACATCGGGACTATGATTAGAAAAAAACTATATGCGTGAGCATTCTGTCCTTTGAACCGCACTAACACAATCGCAGCAGGGTTCGTTTTAATCCAACCAAACTTGCCAAGTGTGAAAGTGATTCAAATGTTGACTTATCTTACTAAGATGCGATTAATATAAAGTTTATACTCTTTACTATATACAGAAATGGACCATGGTGAACATATTTAGACCGTTTATAAACCCTGTTTTGTTAACAACGCTCAGTCCGACCTTTCGCGGCCTTCGAAGGATGCAGCCTCTGAATTGGGACACAGCCCTAGTGATTGACTTCCGCACAACTCTTGAAATTCAATTAGGCCTACATCAAGGCTTGGTTAACAAAGTGCACGTGATCCCTGCTATCGCCAAATTATAGTACCATCTCTGCTAGAAAGTGTGTTGGAGCTGGTTGTTAAACTCTGCAGGATTCTGACCCGCAGAACCAGGTTTAGACACCCCTGCTTCACACTGATGAGCATGTAGTGATTATATGAATTTTCATTCATTAAATGTCTGGATCAGGGACAGGGGTAAAACATTAACGTCTTTACATAAAAGTATTTAAAAATAGCAAAAATGAATGATGAAGGCATGGAAAATCTTTAAAAGAAATGATAAAATGTTTGTTTTCATAAAAATCAACCTCATAGAGGTTACGACACAGTCCACCAAAGTTGAAGAAACACCTACACATTTATTGCATAACTATTTTAGAGAAGATCACCACTACATTATCAGAACATTATCTGTAGTTTATTTTGCAGTCACTGAAAAATTATCATTTCCTTCCTACTGACATTTGGCTGTTTAGAGTGGCATACTATGTATTTATGTAGAACATAGGTTAGAAATTCTCTGTATGCACTGAATACCCAGACGACCCAAGGTTTCAGCCTGGTCCAGTTAGTCCCATAATCTCAACATCTGGCTGCAAAAAGCATTGTTTTTTTTTAATGCAGTGGAAGACTTTTTGGATAAAAGCATTAGCCAATTTTGCCTATTCAGCACATCAGAGTGTATTGAAAAACAATATTTGAGAATGTCATACATTTTTGATTGCAATTAAACACAGAATATATATCCCACAATGCAATGCTCTCAACTTGACATTCCATTTCTAGTGTGTGACAACAAATGAACCAGAATTAATAACAGCCGTGATCTTTTCTTTATTTGTTTGAAATGCAGCAAGACATTTTTACACAAAGTTGGATTTAAAAGCAAAATAACGGTATTTATTTCCAAGATTGGTAGACTGGATGCCACTCACAATCAACATGAAATCATGTGACATGCAGCAATATCACTGTTCTGAGTTGCATAATGCATGTCGTTTTACAGACTATATAAAAAAGTATAGTGTAATGCACAGTGTTCTCTAAGTAGTTTTCATATCTGCAGTGGTGATGACCCATAATGCAATGCTCTTATCCAATCTGCTGCTAATGAAAAATGACTATATGAGAACATAATCCATTTTGATATAATCGGTCACTGGCTGTCTGTTATACGCATTGTAATCCGGGCGTTCAGCAGGGGTTTGAGAGTGGAACGATTAGTCACAGGTCACCTGGGAGCAACTGTGATTAGCAAATCCTATAGGCCACACCAACAGACCGCCTTGTTTCTTAGAATTATTTTTAAATTCACGTGCAATCTTTAATCACAATATCCTCCCCTCCCTCTCTGATGATGAGGGCGGGGCAACCTGTCACTCACATGAGATCCACCAATAGCAAACCACAACCATCCAATCAACTCCCCATGGACAACATCAAGTCCCGCCCTCCATTTTTTATTGTTTGAGAAGCCGTTTCACTCGAATATACGTCACAATAGGGAGAAGAGACTATCGCAATTCCGTTGCATGCCAATATAACACAAGCAATGGTGTTTATCCGCAGGTGATATTTAAACATATATTCATACAACAGTTGATAAACAAGATGTTTTTACATTTTAGACACAATATTGCCATTTACTATGTGCATTTCTGCTCCGCCAACTGCAATAATTCCAAACAAAGTCAAAGCCATAACTGGATCTCCAAGCAAAACACAGTGGCGGTGTTTCGTTCCTGAATGAATCTGCGTTATTGAATGAATCAGTTCAGTAAATCATCCATACTCACTCATATAGACTGTGGCTGAATTCGGAATAGCACACTACTCATATTTACACCAGATAAAGCTTAAGATATAGTACTAGCAACTGTAAGAATTGCATGTTAGTATACTATTCCGAATTCAGGCCCTTAATGTTGTTCTCGAATGAATCAGTCTTTTGAATTGGTTGAATCAATGAGTTATAAAGACACCACCACCTACTGGCGTGGCGATATAACCTACAGAAAGAGTCCAAACTTGCATAGTTTTGTAGCTGCTATTCTACTACATTAGCACATCATTAATGCACAAGCAGACTCATTCAGACAGTCCTAGTGGGTAAAGCATACTAAAGAGCAATGAGAAGTAGCTGTTACTGTGTCATTGCTATTCCAAACTTTTACATTTATTTTATTTTTCCATATTCCGTGATGTCACTATAACAGAGGGATGGGGTACCCAGAAGCCCAGGCCATGGATGAGTTTCCAGTACAGAGAAAAGGGGACCGACTGCCCTTTCAGGTATCAACCCTTCTGTCATCCTTTTATCTTTTCTATGAAGTTTGAATGTATATATTCATTTACTTTTTATATTTTAGCCAATATTTAAAGTATTTAATATTATATTTAATATAATATATACATTTTTAATATTTAAAGTCACATGTATTCAACACTTTAGGCCACAAATCACATAAAATGCCACCAAAGGGTGCACCTGCAACAACCGTCAAATAAAAAAACAAAACAATAGGAGACGTTTTGACTTTTATTCATTCCCTTAATTCTTTATATCAACCATTACATTTTCAGCAGCAACAATGCTAATTCTTGATATCAACAATGACTTCATCACTCGCAAAAATTTCAAGAATTAAATTTCAACTGGTAAAAACTATATTCCTTGATATCTGTAATTGTATTTTCACTAGTTAAATGTCACCATAGACTGCCATTCGAATTCAATTGTTGATATCAGGAATTGATTTCTTACTAGTTGAAATTCCAATTTCACTTCATTAGAAATACAATTCTTGGTAAAAATCATAATTTTTGATATCAATAATTGCGTGGTTGACATGAGTTTAAGGCCGGACTATCTATTTGTGCAAACAATAAGGGGAAAACTGTTTGGAAACTGCTTTGCAAGTTGTTCACATTTACATTTACATTTACATTTAGTCATTTAGCAGACGCTTTTATCCAAAGCGACTTACAACTGAGGACTAAACCAAGCGAGTCATCGTGAAGAGGCAAAAACAACGCAAGAAGTGCTCAAAATACAAAGTTCAGACATAGCTCGGAGTAGCATAAGCCAGACAAGCGAGGATTTAAAGGAAAGGATTTTTTTTTTTTTTATGTTAAGTGCTCCCGGAAGAGATGAGTTTTCAGTTGTCTTTTGAATGTTGTCAGGGATTCTGCATTCCGGATGAGGGTGGGGAGATCATTCCACCAGCATGGAACCGTGAATGAGAATGTTCTGGAGAGTGATTTTGTGCCCCGCTGTGATGGCACCACGAGCCGTCGGTCATTGACCGATCGTAGGCTTCTGGTAGGGATGTAGACTTGTAGTAGTGAGTGGAAGTAGGAGGAAGCTGAACCTGTGGTCAATCTGTAAGCAAGCGTCAAAGCCTTGAACTTGATGCGAGCAGCGAGTGGTAGCCAGTGCAGAGAGATGAACAGAGGAGTGACGTGGACCCTTTTGGGCTCGTTGAAGACAAGACGAGCTGCAGCATTCTGGATCATTTGTAGAGGTTTAGTTGCACATGATGGAAGTCCAGCCAGAAGAGCATTGCAGTAATCAAGCCTAGAAATGACCAGGGCCTGGACGAGAAGTTGTGTTGCATGCTCAGTTAGGAAAGGCCTGATCTTCCTGATGTTGTGCATAGCAAACCTGCATGATCGAGCTGTCTTTGTAATGTGGTCTGTGAAGGTCAGCTGATCATCAAAGATTACTCCAAGATTTCTGATCGACCTTGATGGGGTGATTGAGGAAGAATCTAGCTGGATAGTGAGGTCATGCTGTAGAGACGGATTGGCAGGGAGGACGAGAAGCTCAGTCTTTGCCAGGTTGAGCTGCAGGTGATGTTCCTTCATCCATGCCGAGATGTCCGCCAGACAAGCTGTTCACATCAGCTTAAAATCTCATTTGGGGACTTAAAAGCCACATATTGCATCAATAATGTGGTTATCTTGTAGCAAAGCTCATCCACATTTTGTTTTGTTTGATGATAATAACTGGTTCCCTCACTAGTTGTTAAGCTAGAGATCACAAAGAGTGGCATGAATTTGAATCACGTTCCAAAATTTCACAATGGTGTTGAGCTTTCATCAGTCACTTTGAGCCAAACATGACCGACCTGAAGCAACCTCAAACAGGAACCCCTGTTGTGCAAACACCATTCAAGACTAAAGATTTCTCCTTCTTATATTATCCCCTCTCCTTATCCTTTATTTTGCAGATCTTCCCAGATCCAGTAGTAGTTGTGAGCACTGAAGGCACTCTGAGCTGCGTGCCCCAGGGGAAGGAGCGCCTGCCGTCCATCGTGGTGGAGCCTACAGATGTCAGTGAGGTGGAGAGCGGGGAGCTGCGCTGGCCCCCGGAAGACATGGACTTCGATGAAGATGAAGATCTGTTCTTGGAGCAGTGCATCCCACCCGCTAACATCGCCGACTGGGGGGAGGATGAAGAAGAGAGCTCTGTCATTGAAAACCCCCAGCAGACCACTTCTCTGTTAGGTACTTACAACAGCTTTCACAACCATTCAGAACAAGAACCATTCAGGGGTGAAATCGGTGTTTTTCAGTTGTATTGAACATGGTAAAACATGTTAAATGGAGCTGAGAATATATTTACTACTATACTACTACTACTATATTTGTAGGCCAACCCGGAAGATAGCATCACCCTGGTTTCCTTCAACAAAAACCCAATAGGAATTTCCCATTACCTTGTGGATTATTGCAAAAAAAAAAAAAATCTACTTTTACTACTAGTACAAGTTACTTTGTTTTCCCATTTATTGAGAGATAAATATAGAGAGAAATCGGGAGTAAGTACAGAGGCATTGTGTTTTCTGTGTAAACATTACAATACAAGCCAATAAAATACAAGCCACTTTATTAACCAAGGTCTTTGCTGCTGACCTTCGATGATCCAGTTCATCCATACCAATAAGCAAAAATGACTTCAGATAAACATCACATTTGTGTTTCATTTCATTGTTTTATTGCTGAAGTAGGAGTGTTGAACTTTCTTCTCCTGCGTCCTGTTCTTCTGCTATCTATCACAGTTGAGAGGTCAGTTTGAGCTGCGCCCTCTACTGTACTGGCGTGAATCTGCACTTCCTTCAGCCTGAGTTTTATTCATTTCACTTTTGGTGTGAAAAGGTAGCCTGGTTAAAACCAGACCATTCTCAGTTGTAACTGAGTTATGGTCTGGCAAAGCGCCATAGACAAATCATTTCCAGAGGGGCGTCACCAACGGACGTCGCGGATAGACCTAAACCCAATCAGAGCGATGAAGGAGATGACGTATGCAGAGCGGCCGAGTGTTGTTCTTTGCTCGGTTTTTAACTAAAAGGAAACGTTCAAATCGCTTAAAACAGACGCGATAGCTGATTGGAACGAGTGATGTTCGACGGCGGCATCCATCTTTGTAATGTAGGCTAAAATCTGCTTCAAAATCCCAGCGCTGTCGTCATCGTGTAAAGCCCGCCCCAACGTTTCTGATTGGTGCCGCGATTTCGGCGGATTGGAAATGGGCTTGAATGAGCTCTTTGCCAGACTAGCTTTCAGAGCAAATCTAAATTTGCCGGAAGTTGTCTGGGTTTTCCCAGGCTAGTGAAAAGGCCTATATATTTGCCAAAAAATATATATTTTTTGTTATTAAAAAGCAAGCAAGCAATCCCAGCCCAGGTGAGAAGTAATGCAAAAGTAACCCAACACATACACAATTAGTTACTTTATAACCATTGCTTTTAAAAGTAACTATCCCCAACGCTGAATATAAGCATAATATGGAAAATATATTATATTTATATTATAAATGTTGAAAGTATAATAAACATATAAGTAGCCTGTTATAAATAAAATATAAGTGAAATATAATTAATTGTAATAAATTTTTAAAAATTGCATACAGCTTTCCCTGCAAATGAAAGCCCCCATATACCAGCAAACCGGAACAATGATGACAATGTGTAAAAACAGAGCGTAGGTGTGTAACCGGTCCTACTCGACCCACTCCTAGGGCGCGCTAACGGCCCTGTCCCAAATGGCACACTCCGGACTTGTGGACTTCCTCAGAGTCCACACTTCGGTGATGTCATGTAGTGCAGACCTATAGCGCCCTTAGCGCGAGTCCGCGAGGGCGCATTGAGAGGTATTTTTGGGACAGACTCGATCGTCACGCCGGAAACAGGAAGACGGTCGATTGTTGTTATGGACAGGAGCTACAGGTTCGGGGAAATATGCTGCCTATATTGTTGTTGTGTTTACATATGACTCAGTAAAGCCCTGACATTCTGTTCTATTTATTTAATGAATCATAATGCGATCGTATTATTCAGCTCGCTATTATTAGCCTATGTTTGAGACATCAACCACTGGTCGATGATCATAATGTTTGTATAAACTTGTCATAAAAAACGTATTTTCTTCTCAGCCATGTTAACAATTGTCCGTGAGCGAAATCTCCTGCCATCTGTTGTCTGATTGGCCTTTCGCAAGGATTCCTGGGTAGTTAAAGTGCGTGGAGCCTGCATCTATGTGGGCTTCGCGGAAGACCGCTTCAAGGGTACAAAGGGGGCGCTGCTGAGCACACTTCAGAGCGTTAAAATGCTAAATGGGACAAGCCTACGGACTCGTAGACTCGCCGAGCACGCGCAATTTAATTTAAGTCCACGAGACCGAAAGTCCGCATGAAGTGAGCCATTTGGGACAGGGCCAACAACGACGCTAAAGACCGTTAGCCGCTAGCACCGCTAGCGTTAGCCGCAAGCGTGACAATGAGTGTTTTGATGCAACACCAAGAGTTTTTAACTTCTTCAAGAACAGCACAATCACAGAGGGTTACTCAATATGTATACATTACTAGAGCAATGCTCATTTTCAGTTCCTTTTACATGAGATAATTTGCTTGTTTATATTTGTTGTAGGTTTGTTTCATCTCCGTCTATCTGTCTGTCTGCAGATCTTCAAACGGATGACTTTAGGGACGACACCCCAACTCTTCCTCCAGAGAGTGCTTCGGCTCTGAACTGATGGACCCGTCCTGTTCTCAGGGTCGCGACATGTTGAACCTGTGCTGCCACGTCTCATGTAAATGAGTGAAGGACGCTTTCCTGAGCAGCAGCTTCCAGAGGAACTAATTGGACCATGCGACTCTGAATGTGGGCTGACCGTGGTCGCACACTAACACAAGATTCAAGATAAAACAACTTGTGAAGACTCTAGTCATCATGCAAGTTGTAGCTCATTAAGTCATCATAGGTTAATTTACTGCTTATCAGTTCTTTTCCCGTTACTTTAGGAACGTGTCTCCACAGTTGTGTCTTTTTAATTGCAAAAATTAGTTTTGGTTTAAACCAGTCAGCATTTTCACATTCCCCTTTTTCACGCAGATCTGGAAAAATGCTGTGAAAGAGGAAGGAACATTTTTGTGACGTTACACACTCAAATCATCTGTGGCAGATGGTCATGTTATGGAGAAGTTGGAAAATGTTGTAATGGATTGTTTCTTTCAATGTTTTTGTACCGTATCCGTCCCCCTTTTCTTTTCCCCATGTCAGTTTTTGTGTTGATGTATTTCAGTCATGTCTGACTCTGTACTTTATAAAGCGCTAAATAATAAAGGTGAATTAAATGTCAGAACTACATTTTAACCATCAGGCACACCTCTGAATAGAAAAAAATCTTCAAACAGTGGAGTGTATTGTGTATGTTTTATACCAAACTGAAAACACAAGAGTTTTACTTTGTGAAATGTTTTCCAAAGCAGCTTTGTACAGCAATATGTATACAATGTTTTCCCCTCAAATGGTTATTACCAAATGAGAACATTTTAAAGCAATAAAATACATCAGTGCCACTACTGACAATAATTTTGTAGTTGTCTCTAACAATTCTGTCCAATCACAATACAACAATAATAAGAAGAAGAAAGAAAAAACAAAACTATTTCCTCTATTAAACTGTTTAGTCACCGACTGCTTTAAACATCATGTAAAAAGTGCTTGCACAACACTATAAGGAAAAGGCTTGGTTCACAACAGCTTGCAATCATTTCCTGCCTATAAGGGACGCACAAGACAAACTGAATCACATTTGCTGTTGCAGATCAGCACAACTTCACAGGTATCTTTTTTTATTCATTTTGATAGTTATTTTAGCATGATTAGAGCTGTGCTAATAACAAAGTGTTGAACTTTAAAAAACAAGTGGACAAAAGAAGACCTTACAATAGTATGGTAACAAAGTAATATTGCAAAGTTTGTCTCTTTAAAATGAGATTGATTAAATATAGCGTGATTTTTGCCTCCTTTGCACATTTTCAGTTATTTCACTCTTTCTCATTTCACAGCTGAAATGGAGGCGGATGATCTGTATTTTGACCATTCTGACTTTTATGATAACGGAAGTTACCTTTGCAATGGCACTGAAAACTGCACCGATACTGCGTTCCCCTCTGAAATGTCACTGTCCGAGATAGGGTCCAGGCACTGGTTCGCTCTGGTCTGCTACAGCGTCGTGTTCCTGTTGGGCGTCCCTGGGAACGGTCTGGTGGTGTGGGTGACCGCGTTCAGGATGCCGAACTCTGTGAACGCGCAGTGGTTTTTGAATCTGGCCATTGCGGATCTGCTGTGCTGCCTGTCGTTGCCTCTCCTCATGGTCCCGCTCGCCCAGGACCAACACTGGCCGTTTGGCGATTTGGCTTGCAAATTACTCAAAGGTCTGTTCTACATGATGATGTACTGCAGCGTTCTGCTCCTGGTTGTGATCAGCTTGGACCGTTTCCTACTGGTGACCAAACCGGTGTGGTGCCAGAACCACAGGCATCCGAGGCAGGCCCGGAGCGTCTGTTTCGTCGTCTGGATTCTCGCTCTCCTTGGAGGTTCTCCTCAATTTGCTTTCATGGAGGCATATGAAGGGAGCGAGACTAAAATATTGTGCGACAGCTCCTACAGTAGCTTAAGTCACGCATGGGCCGTATTCCTTATACGCAGTTTTCTGTCTTTTCTGCTGCCTTTCCTGATCATCTGCGCCAGCCATTGGAAGGTTTACCACATGACGAGCTCCGGGAGACAGAGAGGCAGCGACAAGTCGGCCCGCACGCTGCGTGTCATCCTGGCGTTGGTGCTCAGCTTCTTCCTATGCTGGATTCCCCTTCAGATCGTGGATCTTCTGCAGTTGGTGACGTACGGACAGGCAGAAGGCCTACGTCTTCAAGCCAACCTGCGTCTGGCCCATGTGCTGGCGGTCTGTTTGGGTTACGTGAACAGCTGCCTGAACCCGCTGCTCTACGTGTGCCTCGGCCGCGGCTTCAAGGACAATCTGATTAGCTCTCTGAGGAGTGTGCTCCACTTCGCATCCGAGGCTCCGACCAGTCGAATCAGCATGACTGCAAACAGCAAGTCCACCACAGACGGCATGCTCAGAGAGAAGCCCCTATGAAATCACAAGTGCATCTATAAACCCTGGTCTTCAAATAATACTGCCCTCCGGAATCATTTCTAGATTTATAAAACGTATTTATTTATATTTGTGCCACTACACATGCTACACAGCAAAGATGTATTGGTAACCAATATTGGTCTATTATGTCAAAATAGTACTTTTAAACTTTAGTTTTAGAACTTTTAAAATGTATCGCATTGCGGACACCAATTCATAAACATTGAAATGTTTATATGCACTAATTTTCAATAAAATTTCAATTTCAAACATATTTCAGATTCTAAAAGTGCTGTTTATATAAACCCCAAACAAAGAAGTCTGATTCACATATTCATTTGCATGTGCATTACATGTACAGCGAACAAAACCGGTGCTAGATGCTGAACCGGAGAAAGCCTCTGCAATAATGCCACTGCAAGCATAATTCACGTTTTTGTCTTGATGCCATAGCTATCTAAAAAAAAAGAGGTATTTTGTAAATAGGCTAAGTATCCGTTTGTAAGACAGAGATGAAAATATACATCTGCACATTCTAATATGTAGAATAGTAGTCCAATAAAAAAAACAATATAATTTGGTTGCATTATAATTTTGGTTGATTCCTAACATTTCGTTAATCATTTATTTTAATGTTTTCTTTATTTTATGTCACTTATAATATGGCACTGATTGGTTAAAAACTGGATGGCATTTCTGTCTTGTGTTTAAAGTCGGAATGAAACAAAAGTTGCGATCGTCTTTTCTTCCCTATTGTGATGTATATTCAAGGGTGTGGGTTTGCTATTGGTGGATCTCATGTGAGTGACAGGTTGCCCCGCCCTCACGCCAGTAAACACGTCATTAGAGAAGACAAGATGGCGCTGTAAAAGGGAGGGGAAGTTATTATGAATAAAGATTAAGTTGCTCATGAATTAAATAAACATTATAGTTAATTTATTATTATTATAATTATTTTATTACTTAGTAATTACACTGTAATATTAGCCTAAATAAAAAACAAGAAAATTTGATTTCTTGGTGACTCATTTAAAACTTTTAAAATGTCCTTGCATTTATCAAAACTATATCATGCAGCATATAAAAAGCCCTTTCACCTGACACAACTGAAATGCGGTGCTCTTTGTGTTAAATGAAAATACAATTATTGAAATAATTTTTGTGTATAACATTACATTTTGTCTGCTTTTACAAAATTGTGAGGTGAATGTACACATCCTAAAAACATAAAAAAAAAAAAAAAACATATCAAAGGAAGCCTACACCCATAACTTTGTAGGTATTTTATATATTAGCAGGAGAAGCTGAACTTGCCAGGAGTGTTTTGTCCGTGGTTTTGTCCGCTGTTCATGAGCTTGACTAACCAGTAGAGGCCAGTAAAGAGTGACTGTTTAAACTGTCAGCTGATAGGGCTGTGATTCCCAACCATCACATGATTACAAACATTAGAGATTTGTGGCTTTTGGTCTATGTGTTTTAGCTTTGAGGCCACATGTTAGTGTACTACTGTTTTTATTTACTTCTAGAAAACATGGAAGAAAATATATTGATGTCTCATTGCATTGTACAGATTTGTTATCCAATCAAATGCTTTCTAGAATAAGAATGTCCCTCCCAATCACATCACATGCAGCTGATTAAAACAAGTTTCAATGAGACAAAAATTACCACAGGAAAAAATTGCAAATTCATACTCTACAAGGTAAAGCATATTATCATCCTGGATATTATCTAATAAAGTGAAAGTTAAAACATCAATGCTATTTAGTGATGTGGGAGGGGTACTTCTGGCAAAAATGTAGGGAAATCCTGTGATTTGGTAAAAGTGATTCAGAAAGCTTTGTTAAAACATTTCAGAACCGATATTTTGTCTGGATATGGGTTAGCAACGTTTCTAACTGCACGACTATATGCAGCTAAATATAACAGCACTCCATGGCAACTGAGAACAATACAGAATGTTGAGCAATGAACAGAATTCATATCTCTTATAACCTCTCCTGTTTGTTGTGTATTGTATGAGGTGTAATTTTGTTTGAGTTTTATTTGACTGATTATCAGAAGTGATTTGTACATATAATCTACTTTTTTATGCATCTTGTTTAACCATGTCTGTATACATATTGAAAATATGAAATAAAGATAAAGTTTTGAACACCCATCTAGAGATGATTTTTTATTTCTTCCGGTATGCATTTGTACAACTAGGCAGGGCCCTATATGACTCTGCGATAATTAATCTATCAAGTCCTATGTAGCTGACGTAAAAATACTTTGAATCTATTATTTCAAATCATACCCATGGACGAGTTTGAGACGATGGCTGATAAATAAATAAAAGTTTATTAACAACATGCAATGAGGAGAAACATTTTCAAAGACTACATGAAAATCTTGAAAATACACTGCAGGCATGAGATCAAAGATGCATGGTGAACTATTATATTTAGGCAAGGCATATTTTAGTACACTCCACACTGGAGTGTATTTCCACTGTACAGCACAGGTAAAGGGAGTTTGTCTGTGTAGCAGCAAGAAAATGAAATATTCCAGTCCTCCAATGCACTAGGTGGCGCCAGTAAAGAAGCTATGTGTTATCAAACTTCATAAAGTACAAATACTAATTAGTTACTATAAATGTCGAGAAATCTGCAGTACACTACAAATGCGTTTTAACAAACATGCTACAAAATATGTATCAAGTAAACATACTTGCAAACTAAAAACAACACCTGGGACATGGCAGGCAAAGTGGTACGTAGTACTGATAATGATGCCTCCGTAACCCCAGGCACATCCTGTCGTGTGTGTGTGTGTGTGTGTGTGTGTGTGTGTGAGATGAGCTGTGAAAATTGCCCTCTTTAAAATGCTAAGCTAATGAGAATCAATTCCAGGTGAGCGAATATCTCTCTTCATCCTGCAGTTTGTTCTCTGAGTATTTAGTAATTCCTGTTTGCTTGTTAAAATATTCCCAGGACAAATATTTCCATTCTGCATTACTCAATGAATCATCATCAGCAATGTAGGGTTAAAATGGCTTTAAGTCATAATTCTGGCCTTTTGGCCCGTGCTCTTCAGTTTGAGACCACCAGGCTCGATCCTGTTTAATTCTCTCATCTCACATGGTCTCCTGCCTCTATTTCACTTGTCTTGTCAACAATCAAGAACAAAATAACTTAAAATGGCGTATTAAGTGGGGGGAAAGCTAAAATATATAGCTATAGCAATGAAAGAAAGAGATTTAGGGGCATGCCAGAGAAGCTGAGGGAAGTGATTTACAAACATTACAGACTCATGGTTTTTTAGAGGGATAGTGTACCACAAAATGAAAATTATGTCATTATTTACTCATCCTCTTGTCATTTCAAACCTGTAAGACTTTCTTTCTCATGTGGAAGAAATATTTTGAAGAATGTTGGTGACTAAACAATTGGAATTACATTTATTGGAATGAGGGTGAGTAAATGATGACAGAATTTGATCCTTTAACACATCTGATATGGTCTCTTAATGGGTTTGGTGTGCTTTGTGGGTTTGCTTTGTATCTTGTGGTTGCGTCTCATCAAATCTTTAATCAACAAGAAGAAAGATACAAGAATCCCAGAAGTGAAAATCAAGAAACAAGAATAAACAAAGAGGGGACGGACTTCTAAACAAATCTGAATCCGGTCAAGTCTGGTGGCACGTCACAGCTTCTGAGTCCAGACGCTCTGTTGGATCTCGAAAGCAAACAACAAACTGTGCTAATATACACTCACGGTATGCTGTAGTACAACTGAAAAATCTTGATGCTAACCTTATGATCTTCTAAATCGTTAAAATATTGTTGTGAGCACACCATAAGCACCGTGAGTTTTTAAAAGTTTGAATGAAGAGTGCTCATAAAGGTCTGTTGAGTCGGTATTCTCACTTGAAACGGAGTAGAAGCTTGGACCCGGAAACAGTATTCAACATGTCACGACTTAACAAGCAGATTAAGGGAAGTTTCAAATGAATTTAGTGGAGAAATAGGCAGAGATGTTCATAGTCAGTCTCATACAGTGGTCATTAGTTTGAGGGAGCCTGAACGAAAACGCATGATCTTCTTTTTGAGTGCATGTGAGGCTTTAACCTTGACCACAGCATTGGAGGGATTCTGTGAGGAAGAGGAGGAGGAAGGGGGCAAACGTGGAGGAAGTTGTTGAGGCCAGACCAGCCCTCCGCTCTCATCTGAGTCACTGGACACTGAACTGGTCCCTGGAGAGAAAGTCTCACTCAGACTGGAGTCGGAACCATTGGGCGGCGCAGGAGCGGCCTCTGACCGTTCTTGCAACCTCTGGTCCTGCTCCACAAACTGAACACTAGTGTGTTTGACCGGTAAATGATTTCCTCTGAGTTCATGCGCATCCTCTCTGAATGTCCCCTCATCCTCTTCTTGACTGAGATCTGCAGTGGAGCACCAGAGTCGCTGATTGGATAGGTAAAATTCATCACTATGATGCCTGCCGATGTCCCGTCCCACAGTATGATATTTGTGCTCCGGTTGGGCGGCCCATCCTTGAGAGACGCAACTGTCCTCAGACCGAGAGCGGCAGGTCGACTTGGTTTGTCTCTCTCCTAGAGTTGTCCACCCTTCCTCTGGAACCCTTCTGGTTAGGGACCGAAGAAGAGCCCACTTTTGAGATGGAATGGGTTGGTGTTGTTCACGGGACTCTGGAGTTGACGACATAGGTACGCAGGTGTGATTGCAGCAGGTGTGAATGTGTGGTTTCATGGTATCTGACATTGTGGGACGACGTTTGTTGTAAACCGGTTGATGACGAGGCGAGTCGCTGCTGCTGTCGTAAACTTCTTTAACTCCATACTGATCAATTTCTAAGGAGGATTCTGGCTCCTCGCTGCTTAGGGAAGTTGGTCCAATCTGAGCATTGGGATGGTTCATGTAATATCTGTCTTGGGTCTCGCCCTCATTCCCTTCCTCTGAGAGCGGTGCCCATTCCTGCCATTCCGATTGGTCAAGTGGAAGTTGTGGGTAACCAGGAGGGTAATTGTGTAAGTCTTGCCACCGATCGGGCTCAGAGTCGAGTCCTGCTGTAGATCTGAAGTGTCGCCGCTGCAGGAGTCTCAGGATGTACGTCTCCACACGCATAGCCTGCTGGATGTCCTCTTCGGTTGGGCCGTCATCTATCTTCACTGTAGGATTAGCCTGAGCATCAGAAGTGAGGCTCATCTCGGCTGTAAGGCTTTCATTCCCATCAGCCCTCTGATCTGTAACCCACTGAGGGCTTTCTTCATCTTCTTCTTCATCCTCTATTCCCTCTGCAATACCCTCCAATAGGGGGTATGGGGCAGAAAATGAGCGGGGAAGGCTGGCATGTACTGTGGGCTCCATATGACCCTCCCAGTCCAGCATGTAGGCATCTGTCAGCATGTGAAAAAAGACATTATTTTATGAGAAATAAAACTAGTTCTAAACACCAGGGCTTTTCAAACTTTCTGATGCCAAGGACCTCACGTATGATGATCCCATTGCAAACAACTCCCTTCTTTAAAAGCAGCTAGGCCTATGTTTTATTGTAGACACTTCTATACTGTGTGGGTAAAAGCCAAGGTAATAATTATATTATCAAGACCACAAGTTGATTTTTATTTCATTTCATTTTGTTTTAATTTCTGACCTTTCCCCCTCAATTTTACCTAAGCACCCACCTTGCAGGGTCTATGGGCATCAATTTGAAACCCCTAGTTTAAATCACAAAATACTCATAGGTCCACAGGGTAATTCATAGTGCTGAGAGTACAGATTAATGCTCTGATATAGAATAAACAAAAACTTGGGTGTGAGATGTGATTAAAAGAAACACTCACCCACAGATCTGGGCCTGTGACAGGAGGCAGTGAGGTTTGGAGAGGAGCAGGAACGCAGTGGAGGAGACAGACTTTCACTTTGCTCATAAAACCCTGAGGGATCAAGATAAGTTGAAATCTTATTTTCAATGTTATCATGCTTTCATTCTATTATTCCCAACATCTGAGTGTAAGTTTTTCACATGTGTAACCAATACGCCTCACTATTAAAAATGACTTTACATGGCAACACATTTCCTGACACAAAACCAGCTCATTGCATACTGTAACTAGGTGTGCGCAATACTGTATATCCGTGACCATATCGGAAGTGGTAAATGGTTGGTGTCAGAATGGTTAGGTTGATGTCAGAAGCAGAAGGTTGGATTACTCTTTTTCTGTATCAGGTTACACAAGTATTTAAGAAGTTCCAAGCTACAAAGAATTCTACTGTTCTTCTTCTGAAATATGTAAACTCAAGAAGATCAGAGCTTTAGGAACACAAAACAAAATATAGCAGCCTATATATTTAACATTGTCCATCGCATCTGTTATAACACCAACTATGGCAAATATTGGGTTTTTACCAACATTTTTGTCCATCTGTACATAGTAAAATATATCCACAACAAGTGTGCAATTTTGCAGAAGACTTTCTGAGAGTCATGGAGTACCTGAGCTTGATGCACTGGGAGTGTCCAAATCCTCATCTGTATTCTGCTCACATATGAGTCCTGTATCCACCCTCAACTCACTGAGCTGCTGTTGCAGTGCCAGCATCAGCAGACTGGGGGCACCCTGGAGCCGGTTCTGCGGGGTACAACAGAAAGGTCAATAGTGAGGGAAAGTAAAAATGAATGCATTAGGCAGAGACTTTATTCAAAGTGACTTACATTGCATTCAAGCTTTGCCTTTGATCAGTTCATGCATTTCCTGAGAATCAAATCCATAACCTTGACATTGGGAGCGCTCATGCGTTAATGTTTGAACTACAGGAATGCAGTAACCCAATACAAACACAATAACAGACAGATGTTGCTTTTCCACTGTGTGGTAAGACTCGGGTCGGCACGACTTGGCCTGGTTCGGCTCACTTTACTTTGGCTCGGTTTAGTACCCGTTCAAAGTGGATGGGATTATAGACTGATTGTTATGGTTGAGCCGCCACCTCGTCTACTGACCATGATACAGTAATTTCTTTTTTCAAGTTGCATGCGACGGTCGTTTAAAGCAAGTCGTTTAAAAAAGTTGTGCGAACAAATGATACTGCGGTAGCTGTTGCTGACTATTTGGTGTCCCGTGTCGCAAATCCAATGATGCTGGTAGTGACGATTCTCTCCGACCAATCAGCGATCTGCAGTGTTTAAGTCACATTTTAGTGACTTAAACACTGCAGCAGTGTCACATTTTAGTATCGGCCCGGCTCGATTAGAGGTGGTACTAAACAAAGAACCAGGTACTAGGTACTGTACACAGTGGAAACTCCCCAAAAGTGAGCCGTACCGAGCAGTACCATACAGTGGAAAAGCGCCAATACAAGCACAAATATAAAGCTGAGAGGACAGTTGTAGGGTACATCAGCATAATATAGTTAATATATAGTTAATTTTTTTCCCATATTAACCTAATGTATGCCCTAGATTGCCATTACTCGCCCTCACGCTCACTGTTAAATCTTAAATAATTTAAAAGGTTCGTTACATTGTAGCTCTAAAAACTGGTCTCTTGAATAAATGAAAATAGTAATGATGTATTGTGCATCTACATTAGAATAATCTATAATTATTTGCGTGACAGACGGGTGTAAGATGATTTGGATACAAAGCTTTAAGCACAGGTATTTGTGTGCATGTCACCAGTGTACAGTCGTGTGTGCACCACTGGCAGCAGTTATGTAAGCAAATGGCATATGCACCAATCCCGGAACATCAATAATTTACCAAAGTCAGCACAGATACTGGTGAGTATACTATTTTCTAATCCTGCGGTTCTGGTTTTGTTTCAGGACCTAGTTTCATGCCCCCGACAGCTAGATCAAAACACATTGTGGTTGGCACCATGTTGCAAGTGAACCTGTCTTTAATGCAGTCTGGGTCTGGGTTTTATTTTAGTTTTGTTCATGGTTTAGTTTGTCCAGATTTTGTCCATGCATCACAGTATGTTCCACACCTGGCCTGAATCACCGCTCAGTGAGTATTTTTGGTTTCTTGTTATATTTCGCTGGTCTATGACGCAAAGGTGGTTTAACTTGGGTCATTATTTTAACCACTTTCAGTTCAGTGTTCTCTCAGTTCTCTTTCCCCCCATAATAAAGGGTATAATGATGACAACCAATGTTTGGGTGTAGAGATCCAAGACAGATGTGAGAAATAGACTGGAGAGATTTTTCAAAAGCTAATAAAACAAAATTTTCAGTGGACTTTCAACAATTTAGGTTGATGCACAAGGTTAAGATATGTTTGGAATAACTTTGTTTTATATAACATGTAGGCTTACCACAGTAATACCGGTTACACTCGTATGACGGACAATCACGGTATGAAATTTTATTTTAAAGAGGAGACCTGAGTATGAGTGAAACTTAATTGACATCAGTCAATATCTTGATGTAAAGAAGAGCCTTAAAGGTAGGTTAGCCAAACACTTTTTGTTTTTCTGGTTAAAACTCTTATCAGATCTCTTCACATTCCACACGTTACCTCAGTATAGTCCATGAATGAGTAAATGAAAACGAGTGAGTGAATTCGGACACTGATTGCATTGGAAGTGCTCACAGTGAATGGGTATTTTCTAGCAGGGCTGGTCAACTCTACTTTCCTGCAGCGTTCAGCTCAAACCCTGATTAAAATCACATGTATATTTCTATTAATCCTGAAGACATTGATTAGCTTGTTCAGGTGTGTTTGATAGGGTAAGAGCTAAACTCAGAAAACAAGAGTTGCCCACACCTGCTCTAGCAGCTAGCCGTTGAGTGTACAATATATCAGTTGTACACTCGTTATTGAGGTGCATTATGGCACTGAATGAGTGTACTGTATGAGTGTTCAGCCAGCAGCTATTAACCCTTTTCCACCAAGGCAGTTTGAGTGTTGGTTCAGAGCCAGAGCCTAGTTTCAACACCCAAAGCACCAGCTCTGAATCAGGAAAAGTGGTTCGTAAGTAGCACCAATACAATGCTGGTCTAGAAGTAAGAATCGCCTGCGTCAGGGGCTGTGGGCGGGGTTACCGTGACCAACAAGACGAACAGAAACTTGTGACCGCCATTTTTTAAACAGCAGCTAATCGAGCTAATAGCAGCTCGATTGTAATCTCCGTCTATGCAAATCACGGCGAGCTGCACGAACGCGTTGGATTCGCCGTGTTTGGATGCCAATGTAGGTTCGCAAAGGCATGAGCATCAATAGTAACGCAACGACTGCCATTGTTGATGGAAGGCTTGTTCGAGATGCATTGGAGCTGTGCGGACCGATCGGAGCTGCTGGAGTGTTTGGAGAGCATACGACTCCTTGTGCTTTTGGATCGCTCTCGCAGTGCTTTGATGTCATGCCCCGATCGGTCTGCGAGAAGCCGATGCATCTCGAACAAGCCTGGAGTGTTTGTGTTTGGTGCTACTGCGCTAGCGTTGCTGGGTGACATGATATGTATACAGTGATGTAAGACCTGGCTCTGTGGTGGCTCTCTGGCCTGTGGAAAGGCAAACCTGTTCTTAGAAGACTCGTCAGTCAAACCAACTCTGAACCGACAATAGCTCTGGCTCTGAACTAGCACCCGGTTCATGCTGGTGGAAAAGGGGTACCTGTAGCTCAAGACTGGTTGCCCATTGAAGCGAAGGAGGGTTGAGTCTGGTTAGTACCTGGACTGCTGTTGGAGGAGGTGTTAGTGAGGCCAGCAGGGGGCGCTCACCCTGTGGTCTGGGTCTGTGTGGGTCCTAACACCCCAGTATAGGGATGGGGACACTATACTGTCAAAAAGCACTGTCCATCAGATGAGACGTTAAACCGAGGTCCTCACTCTCTGTGATCATAAAAAATCCCAGGATGTCCTTCAAAATAGTGTAGAGGAGTAACCCAGGCATCTGTCCATCATGGCCTCCTTATCATCCTCATATACTGATTGGCTTCATCAATCTGTCTCCTCTAAACCAATAAGCTGGTGTGTGCTGGGCGTTCTGGCGCAATATGGCTGCCGTCGAATCATCCAGGTGGATGCTGAACATTGGTGGTGGTTGAGGGAGATTCCCCTCTTCCATATGTAAACGTGCTTTGAGTACCCAGAAAAGAGCTGTATAGATCTAACAAATTATTACTCAATGTTGTTGACACCACAACAAATGGCCGTCGGGTCAAATAGTATATAATGGTATTGGGGAGCAATTTAGGACACAGCCTGCTAATGTGTCCTTAATATTTGGTTCAACGAATCCTTTAATTGTGTAAATTAATCATTTAATTTCACTTTATTTGATAAGTTTAATATTAATTTTTAGTAATACCAGTATAATCGGTAGGCTACTGTGAAAATTATAATATCATGGCAAGTCGTTTGTTGGCCAATTTTTCATCTATTAGTAGGCCCATAAGGGAACCAGCACACTGGAGAACGCAGAGCGTTTGATGGCTGATACTGCGTTAGATACATTATAAGGGTTTGGAAAGTCAGTTTGAAATCAAGTAGTTCAATACAGCAAATTGGATTTCAAAAAGCACAACCAGACCTGCCTCTCTGAAATTCCCATTGGACAATTCATAACTGCATCAGAGATAAGTTAACATTTTCTGATATTTAAGGTCAAATGAAGGAACACTGCTTTTTATGTTCTTGCAACACACCATTTCCATTGAAATTGAAATCAGCAGGTTTGCATCACCTCATGACAAAAATAAGACTTAAAAGAATGTGTTCTTAGAATTGAATCGCTCATAAAACCATGGCAACATGGTTTAGCCGCTGAGGTCAAAGCTCAAGCGCATGAGAGAAAGTGACAAGTATAGAAAGGAAAAACAGAGGACAAAGACAGACAGAGAGAGAGAACCAGAAATCCATTCAATACGATTTTAGGTCTGCCAGATGTGAACAAAGACCATAAGCAACCCCAATCCCCTCACTGAAAACATGATCCAGTTTAGATGATTTCAGAGCTAATATCAGCTATTCTCTCTGAAGTCTGACTCAACCTCGTCATGCTTCCCTTGGAGATCTTTGATTCTGCTCCATGATTAACTGTCGTGCGCCGGATCAGCTGGTTTGGTGTCTCACCCTCAAAGGCCTCACGCATAAAAGCATGCAGAAGGCAGCAGTCTATTTGATTATCACAGAAACAGACAGGACCTGAGGGAGATCAGGCTGCATGTGTACTCTCATTATCCGGATGCCGTGAGCGCCTTGCCTTTAATGTGCCAAAATGGGACACACAACCAGCATCCTACTTCTACACACACACACACACACACACACACACACACACACACACACACACACACACACACACACACACACACACACCACCCTGCCCCCACTATATCAGCATACACACACATCAACATAACAGTCCTGAAGTCCAAAATACATCACTAAACTGCACTAATCAACACATCCACAGCAACTACAGCAGGAAAACTTTGGCCTTGAGGGTTGATATGTGTTTGAACAGACATTGTATGTACTGTAGGCCTATAGCTACTGTAATGCAAACACTGCTGGGTTCTCAACTACAAATCTGAACTACAAATAAACTGGTTTATTTGTAAACTTTGTTTGTGAACTGGTTTAAAGCGCAGAGATTAAAAAACTGGGATATAAGGATTTCTCACAGTTACATTGCTATAATTATAGGGTGCATGCATAGGCGTCATTTACGGGGGGGACGGGTGGGACATGTCCCCACCACTTTTTGCCAGGGTCGATATTGTCCCCACCACTTTTGAAACATCTCGCGTCACGGATGTAACAATACAAATAAAACATCTCCAGTTAACTAGCAGCATTCGTTTCATTCATTTGTTAAATAAGACGCGATCTAGCGCTGAAATGTGTTGTCTTCACTCGGACGCGCGCTTCAATCCGTTGCAGAGATTCTATTCGTTCCAGAGAAATCACAATTCAAAATGCACACAAACGTGTCCCTGCTTCTCTGGGTTCTAATCCGCACTCGTATAGTTTTTTTTTCCCTCATCAAAACCGATAATGTTTATCAGTGATAAAGTATATCAAGATTCTTGATATACAACCACTGATAAACATTATCGGTTTTGATGAGGGGAAAAAACTATACCGAGTGCGGACTAGAACCCTCAACCCCCGACACGCTTGGCAAAAATTCTGCCACTGGACTATCACAATACATATGCAACGCAGGCGGATCTATTTATTTATTCACGTAAAAATTCTCGATTCTGACAACATTATATTAGATCTCATTTTACGACCAATTAAACCCAAAGTACCATCACATTTTTGGTCGGACATCATACATTTTTATTTATTTCAATCAGTAAGCTACAGGACATCGTCTTTCAAACCATGACCTGCGCGAAAGAGAAAAAATAATGAATGCGTCATTGTACCCAGCACTTTTGAAAATGCCCTTCCGAATGCGTCTCTGTCCCCACCACATTTCAAACCAAACTGACGCCCATGGGTGCATGTGTAATTACATGTTACCCACAGGGCTGTGAGTGTGAGCGTGAGTGTGAGCACAGCACTCCATCCTCGCTGTAGTTGCCTGAGGACTAGATCAAATTGGATTCATTCTATAATTGGTTAATTAACAGCTGAATTTTGAATCAGTCAGGAAAACAAAACAGATAGATAGAATGACAGAACGATAGATAGATAGAACAACAGATAGATGTATAGATAGATAGATAGATAGATAGATAGATAGATAGATAGATAGATAGATAGATAGATAGATAGATAGATAGATAGATAGATAGATAGATAGATAGACTGATAGAATGATAGATAGATAGATAGAAAGATATAACAGTAGATAGATAGATATATAGATGGATAGAATAACAGATATAATGATAGATAGATAGATAGATAGATAGATAGATAGATAGATAGATAGATAGATAGATAGATAGATAGATAGATAGATAGACTCTTGCTGACTGAACTGAAGGATGTTTCCGGTGGTCGCTGAAGCGGAGCGCGTGCCCGTTGACAGCTCATTTGGGTGATGCGTCTCGAGCGCACGCGCCTGTCCCGCGAGAGTCTGACTTATTAATATTCCGCTCCATGCGCCTTTTGTCTGATCCCTCTATGTGGGAGAAACTCTGGGGAAAAGAGAGACCACTGCTTATTTGATTTCTCTTACCGCCTTTTCACCGTCCTTTTATTGAAAACTGAGTTAGAGTGAGTCCGAATCCCTGCAGGCAGACATACTGATGGACAGGTAATGAAAGGACAGGAGGGACTATGCGCTCTATTAGTTTATGAATATCACTTTGATAAACACTGCTTCCTCAGCCACTTATGCAGACGAAATACGGAGTTTAAAATAATAATAATTAAAATATTTATTACCCCAACCTGTTTCATCAACCGAATTTAAGACTATTTTTAAGCCATATAACTCTTAATGATAATTAGACCACAACATAACATTTAATATTATTTAAAACAAGAAATTCATAGCTTAATATTTCTAGGGGTAGGAATTGATAAATCCATACGAAACGAACAATGGATAGTTAAAGGACTACACGCCCCGCCCTCTTTTCCATTTGCACATCAATCACAGCTGTCAAAAACATTCACGTGCTGTGAAAAGAAATTGTTTTATTTATACAGCACAGCTGCTGCTAAATGGTATTATAGTGGCATATTAGTGTTATAATATCGACAGTTTTCACGTGCCAAAATTTACGTAACACCAAAAAGTACATATTTTAAACAAGCCTCTTGTTTTCTACACTCGTACACACTAATAAAGGACATTTATTGGTAGGCTACGGTTTCATTAAGAACCTTTAACATGATCCATGGACCCCTATGATTCCACAAAAAGGCACTTTATAGTGGCAAAGGTTCTTTAAATATTATTTACGCTACACTAAAGAAAAACATGTTTCTTTCAAGAGCGAAAAGGTTCCTTAAGTGGACCAAAAATGCAAAACAACAACAACAATATGATCAACACATCAACATCACTCGTCTTTTTTAAAAACTTTCCCCAATACTTTGCGAATATCCACATCTCCATAAAGTGATAGTGACCCGCTGGAGGGAATTCCGAGAGGCTGGTTTTCATCACCTACCAGCTGTAGTCTTAAAGTGAGCTGCTCCTGTTCTCTGCTGCTGCGAGCCGGACCAACATCACCCCAGACCGGGCATCCCGGCAGCGAGTCCCCGAGCGACAGGGCTCCGAGAACCAGACTCTCCTGCCGCTGCTTCAGGACCTCCAGTTCACACAGCCACGCGAAACTGGCCTCCAGACGCTGTTGAATCCTCCTGTGCTCCATCATCTTCAGAGGAACCCCGAGGTCCACCAGGAGCCTCCTCACCCTTCCCAGCAGAACAAAAGCAATCAATCTTTCAATGTGATCTGCGTCAGCAGCTTCTGCTACAACTGTGCACGTTTATCACGTTACAAAGAGACACATGTCGATTTGGTTTGAGTGTTTTACCCTAACACGAGCCTCGGTTGCTCATATTCCTGCGGTCGGACAATATTTGGGCATATCAGTTTTGAATCTTTTCCCCTCGCATTGCTGTACATTGAGGTGTTCCCTGCTCATTAGAATATTCCGCCCTTTCCGCTGTGATTGGTTGTAAGCTCTCTGACACCGCCCTCCTGAGGATCTCCCACACTCTTATTGGTCAATCCACAGCTGATCATTTGCATAATATCGTGAGCTCAAGCACAGACGGGATGAATGAATGAATGGACGCCGAGAATATTAATTTGTCTGATGCGTGTGACCGACCGACAGGAAAATGCATGCGTGGATGAGTTAATAAGGATAATTAATGAATACTTGGTTAATACATGGGATATTGTCATTTGCAGGGAGCTGGAGCAAGCCGTCATTCATTTCGACGTGGATATTTTTTAGATATTGGCATTGACTTCGATTAAAGGAATCTTTATTTTTTGGAATTATATATATACATATATATTAAAAAATATGTAGGAATATACGATTTCTTTTAACAAAATAAAAAGCTAGTATGCGTCTGGCTATTACGTAATGAAATGATTGGGTTATGTCTCCATCGCGTGGCTAGACATGATATTGCACATTCTCTATTGTGTGGAAAATAATAAGATTCCGTTTTAATGAGGTGTTAATAGCTTTGACTCAGCTTCAGGCACACTTCCAAATACATGATGGAATTTTGTCTGTGTGTACTTGTAACACTGTGCATTTGAGAAAACAAGTACAATTTAGTAGTAGCCTACAATTTCTGCGGGGGATCTAAAGTGAAGCATTCTAGAAACTTCAAGGGGAAAAGGGGCATTCAGAATAAAACTCGTAAGGTATTTTCCCAGTGTTGTTTTATTATTATTATTTGCACTCTGTCTACTTCACATAGATCAGAGAGCCACTGAATCAGAGCTTCTATTAGACAAAAGTTGTTGGAAGAATGGAAAACTGTGCACAGCACAGTTCTGCTTCCTATATCAGTGAACACTGCACATATTGTCATATACGTACAGTGCTTATGGAAACGTACAAACCAGCCTGGTCTAGAGATAAAAATAGTTCTAAAAAGAAAAGAAAAAAAAAATACAGCAAGTCATTGCTACAGCAGTTAAGTTATGGGATGCCACAGATGGACATCTACAGAAATCAATCAGAACACTTTCAAGAAAATAAAACAGTTGATTTGTGAGACAGTTTGTTGCTTGGACACAGTTGTCATGTCATTCAAGGAACTACAGCAACGGTACAGTGGAAATGACATCAGCGGAACGGGTCTAGAGTCTAATGCACCGAGTATGATATGAAAATTCAAAATATAATTTAGAACAATCTTTTTTTAGCCTAAATACTTCCATCACAGATGCTCAATATAAGTTCATTCTCTAATAGTGACAACACATTTTTCAGTTGCAAAATGCAAACTCAAATCTTTGGTCAGATACATCATGAGAAGTCGCTGCATATGAGCAAAAAGATCAGGCTGAATGTTAATCATCTTTTTTTTTTTTGCTCTGGTGGAGTCAGTAATATTTACTCTTGGAGCTTTTAGCAGAAGTGAACGGGTGGTTCACAAAGAAAAAACAACTTTCATTTCACATATTAGGCATTCACACACACTTACACACATACAGTACAGTGAACATGATTGTGACAGTCATTCATTTGATTTTCACTCAGTTCCAAAATCGCAAACAAACGATTCATCTTTTCTCTCAGAAATCAGAACACACACCCAACAACCTTTACAGATGCACTCTAATGCCAAAATAAAAGCTCGTAAGATTTATAACTGAGAGAAGATTTTAACAGTGAATAAACCAGAACGAGAAACTGTCCAAATGATCTCAACTGCATCAAACGTGCGCTCTGGAATAAGATGCCGGCTTCAAACACTGCACAGAGCAACACTAAAGATGGATTTGAAAGATCCACAGCAAAAACTAAAAAAACAAACAAAAAAAAACTGAAAATCAGATTCCAAAGCGCTGGACTGTGGAGTACATGATTCATATGACATTACTGCTAATGCTTTTCTGGGGAAAAAAACAAAAACAAAACCAGATCTTACATTCATTCATCAATACAATACCATGTGGTTTGTAGCTGAAATATTTTCATATGTCCCACCAGCAATGTGCCAGCAAACACATATTTACTGTATATTAGGCTTTCTGTCCCACAAGGTGTCGACGTAAAGTGCCACATCTCTTCATGTCGTCTCACATGAGAATTTAAATTTTAGTCTGCATAAAAAGGGAATTGTTGCATTTCATATTGTATATAAATAAATTCTAGCATCTATAAATACTATATTTGGTTTAGGCTAGAGCACTTGTGCTCTATAAAAATATCTCCCATAACTTTTCTTTCATTTGACTGATTTAAAATGACAAAATATGGGCGACGGCGGGCCAAATTAAATTTAAAAAATGAATGAACGGCTAGTCTAGTGTTGTTAGTCAGACTCTCACCTCAGACCAAATCAAAAGCAGGAACGGTGCCACAGCAGGGAAAGCGTCCGCGCCGCTGATATATGGTCGTTTCGGGGCTTTCAGAAGCCAGGCGGATGTGTAAACAGACTCCCAGTGGATTGAGCTGCTGGGCAAGAACAAGGCAGTTTGGCTTCATGTGCCGGGAGGAAGACACAAGACGTGCTAAGTGGAATGATTTCAAACCTCACGCAAACACACTTACATTCACCAAAATAGACACGGATCGAATTACGACACACGTCTCAAACGTGCTTGTGCGTGTTGCTGAAGAAAACGCAGTTTAATAATTATAAACGCTTTCCGTCTAGAGCTTTGATAAGTGTCCTATGTACATAAATGAACAATAAATATCTGCAATGACCTCTACATATATTGAAATATATATTAAATCTTGAATAAAGTATATATTTCAAACATATTCATATATTTTTCTTCAAATAAATCAGGAGATATCACAGTTTAGTAATCAAAAACTGACAACGTTCCCGTCTGCGGTGTCCCTTTTCACAGTCTTTCTCTGGTGCAAATACACATTAGCATAATGGTTAACGCTTCACAGAAATGGAAGGTCTCCGTTTTTAGCGCAAATGGCCCTTTTTGCAGAAACTAAGCAGTGAATGAAACCTTCCAGCACAGGATTATCAAGGAAACCAGCCCTGATAGAACTAGATTTCATAATGCTCAATGATCTCGCTCTCACAAATGGAAAAGGGACAGGGCAGCTGTGGCGTTACTGGTCAAAATCAAGCTAAAAAGATCATTTTCCTCATTCTTTGTACCAATGAACCAATAAAAAACACTTCAAAAGAAAGGAGGGCTAAAAATAAAAAGCATGCTTTTCATTTTCCTGACACCCTTCCTCATGTCCATTCCGTTCCTCTGACAGGAGTGTACAGTAACATCCTCAGAAAGAGAACCTGAAAGAAAGCCCAGTCGGACCGTAACCGTCCCACAATTCCACGGGACAGATACGGCCCCACTTCCCGCGGGTTGACTCGGATCCCGTTGGATCGTCCGATGGCAGCATCTGGTCCATCTCTTCTTCTTCTGGTCTCTATCAAGTGTCTCTTTTGTTTGGTATGCATAGTCAAACACGCACAGATGGGCCCTTTGTTTTTTTGCCTTTCGCTCTTATACGTGGCTCTACATTGCACAGCGCTCCCTGGTGGCCTGGAGGGGGACTGTCAGTAATATCGACTCCTCTCCTCGTCCGAGTCCGAGTTGTAATCTCGCAGTCCCACACCTTTCTGTAGGTTCAGTAAGGAATCCTTCATCTGTGTGGAGACACATATGCATACTATAATAATATTCACGTTCAATAAAATCACTTCGGCGTGTTTGCAGATGTTTTACCTGATCCAATAACAGTACTGAAGATTTGATGATCTCTCTCCATTTCTGCAGCTCAGCGTCATGGTACCTCTGCTGGGACTCCAGGAGCTGTGCCCATTCCATCTGTGTCTGCGGCAGTTTACTGCTGAAACACAAGACACACACACACGGTCACTAAAACACCACAACTCAGAGATCTTCATGGGTCTGTTGAGTGAGTTTAAAGGGATAGTTCACCCAAAAATGAAAATTGGCGCATGATTTACTCATCCTGAAGCCATTCTAGGTGTATATGACATTCTTCTTTCGGACGAATACAATCAGAGTTATATAAAAAAATGTCTTCTGAAGTGAAGCGATTGCTTTTGTGTAAGAAAAATATCCATATTTAAAACTTTATCGACTAAAATAACTAGACGGCCGTACGCAAATCGACTTACGCCAAAAGAGTAACACTTGAACTTGACGCACAACGTAACTCTGCCGGAAGCTACTTATTTTAGTCGATAAAGAAAGTTCTAAATATGGATATTTTTCTTACACGAAAGCAATCGCTTTAGATGGCCTTTATTAAACGCCGTAGAGTCGTGTCGAGCACTTTAATCATGAATAGATGCGCATTGATGGACTTCCAAAGACAAACAGCCATTCACTGTCATTATCAAGCTTGGAAGAGCCAGGACATTTTTTTATATCACTCCGAATGTATTCGTCTGAAAGAAGAAAGTCATATACACCTAGGATGGCTTCAGGGTGAGTAAATCATGGGCTAATTTTCATTTTTTGGGTGAACTATCCCTTTAAGTCACTTAATTAATTTTAATATCAGCTTAATGTGCTTTGAATTGACTGCAGTAATTGATTAGCTCAATATCACTGTGGGTGGGTCTTGGTTTTGTGGGAGGAGCTCACAATGGTGGGCATGGCTCAATATTGTTTAGGGGTGTTGCTCAACATCGTTGTGGGTGGAGCTCAATATTGCTGTGGGTGGAGCTCAATATTGCTGTGGGTGGGGCTCAATATTGCTGTGGGTGGAGCTCAATATTGCTGTGGGTGGAGCTCAATATTGCTGTGGGTGGAGCTCAATATTGCTGTGGGTGGAGCTCAATATTGCTGTGGGTGGAGCTCTATATTGCTGTGGGTGGAGCTCTATATTGCTGTGGGTGGGGCTCAATATTGCTGTGGGTGGGGCTCAATATTGCTGTGAGTGGAGCTCAATATTGCTGTGGGTGGAGCTCAATATTGCTGTGGGTGGAGCTCAATATTGATGTGGGTGGAGCTCAATATTGATGTGGGTGGAGCTCAATATTGCTGTGGGTGGAGCTCAATATTGCTGTGGGTGGGTGGAGCTCAATATTGCTGTGGGTGGAGCTCAATATTGCTGTGGGTGGAGCTCAATATTGATGTGGGTGGAGCTCAATATTGCTGTGGGTGGGGCTCAATATTGCTGTGAGTGGAGCTCAATATTGCTGTGGGTGGAGCTCAATATTGCTGTGGGTGGAGCTCAATATTGCTGTGGGTGGAGCTCAATATTGATGTGGGTGGAGCTCAATATTGCTGTGGGTGGAGCTCAATATTGCTGTGGGTGGAGCTCAATATTGCTGTGGGTGGAGCTCAATATTGCTGTGGGTGGGGCTCAATATTGCTGTGAGTGGAGCTCAATATTGCTGTGGGTGGAGCTCAATATTGCTGTGGGTGGAGCTCAATATTGCTGTGGGTGGAGCTCAATATTGCTGTGGGTGGAGCTCAATATTGATGTGGGTGGAGCTCAATATTGCTGTGGGTGGAGCTCAATATTGCTGTGGGTGGAGCTCAATATTGTTTAGGGGTGTTGCTCAACATCGTTGTGAGTTGAGCTAAATAGTATTGTGGGTGGAGCTCAATATTGCTGTGGGTGGAGCTCAATATTGCTGTGGGTGGAGCTCAATATTGATGTGGGTGGAGCTCAATATTGCTGTGGGTGGAGCTCAATATTATTGCGAGTGGGTCTTGATTTTGTGGGCCCAGATTGCAATATAGTGTCGGCCTCAGATCCCGGCCATACGTACCAGATGTGGGCCGGATCTGAGGCCGACCCTATATTGCTGTCTGGGGGAGGAGCTCGCAATGGGTGGCGTGGCTCATTGTTGTGGAGTGACTCAACATAGTTATGGGTGGAGCTCAATATCATTGTGGGTGGGACTTGATTTTATCACAGCTGTGGGCGTAGCTCAAAATTGTTGTGGGTGTGTGTGTGAGTGCAGTCCGACTATCTGCACATGATCTTAGATCTGACTGTGGTAATTTGATAGTCCACTCACAGACTGTTGCTGTCAAGAACTGGTCGAAGGAGAAGATAGAAATGCCAATAAAAACAACAGAATACGAAGGTGGAACCAACAACACCGGATGTGCCAGGAGATCTGAAATTAACCGTGTTTGTACGACTTAAATTTGAAAAAGTCATGCAATGGGCACGTCCTCCATGCTGTCCTCTGCTGGTCAGGTGGAGTATCACAACAACGGAACGGAGAAAAACAGCATCTCTGCAGTATCAACTGGAGGAACAAGCGGTTTCACTGTCTGGACTCTACATTAAACTAAAGAACAGTATGACTATTTCTTTTTGTTGAACAGTTGTGTTGAACATGCACTGCCATTCAAAATTTTAGGGTCAGTGAGATTTTTTTAAAGCAATTAATTAAATTCAGTTCAGTTCAATATCACTTTTTTTTTGTTGGAATTTCTTCCAAAAATTGTCTTGCATCCCACAGCGTTTACTGTCTCACATCAATGCCACTTAATACAAAAACATTACATAAATATGTAAATACATGACTGGCTGCTTTTATTAAGCATGGATGAATGTAATTGAGTGACAGTAAAGAGATTTATCATGTTACAACAGATTTTTATTTCAAATAAATGCTGTTCTTTAGAACTTTCCATTCATCAAAGAACCCTGGAAAAAATGTATCAAGGTTTCCACAAAAATATGAAGCAGCAAAATCAATCTTGTGACACTGAAGACTGGAGTGTAAAATTCAGCTTTGCATCAATCAGGAATAAAATACATTTTAAAATATATTCAAATAGAAAACAGTTAGTTTAAATTGTATTAATATTTGACAGTATTTTTTATCAAATAATTTCGTAATCACAAGACACGTTCAAAAACATTAATAATAATTACTGACTGACTCTAAACTTTTGAACTGTAGTGTAGAAAATTGCTAATTGAAAAATAATCATTCCATCAGAGTGAAGCAGTTTTGGTGTGTGTGTGTGTGTGTGTGTGTTGTACCTCTCATGTAGGCGTAAGCCCTGCCAGCTGGTGAGGCTCTGTGCAGAATACTCCAGCATCCAGAGTTTATAGAACAGCATCACATTCAGAAACACCAGTAGCACCAGACTGCAGAGACACAACAAACCACTGAGCACAGCTTCAAGAAGACCATGGACACATTCAGTGAAGAAAACAAAGACAAACGCTGGTCTTGTGATGGTAGAGAGGGAGTGATCGCATCTTAGTCAAGGAAGTGTATGAAATGTGCCACATAAGGCCTATATTTTTGCTGCATTCAATTCAAAGTCAAACGTGAGATATTCCTACTATTGTCAACAGAAACAAAATGGTAACGTTTTTAAATTGTCCATTGCTTTCTACACTCACCTAAAGGATTATTAGGAACACCATACTAATACTGTGTTTGACCCCCTTTCGCCTTCAGAACTGCCTTAATTCTACGTGGCATTGATTCAACAAGGTGCTGAAAGCATTCTTTAGAAATGTTGGCCCATATTGATAGGACAGCATCTTGCAGTTGATGGAGATTTGTGGGATGCACATCCAGGGCACGAAGCTCCCATTCCACCACATCCCAAAGATGCTCTATTGGGTTGAGATCTGGTGACTGTGGGGGCCATTTTAGTACAGTGAACTCATTGTCATGTTCAAGAAACCAATTTGAAATGATTTGAGCTTTGTGACATGGTGCATTATCCTGCTGGAAGTAGCCATCAGAGGATGGGTACATGGTGGCCATAAAGGGATGGACATGGTCCGAAACAATGCTCAGGTAGGCCGTGGCATTTAAACGATGCCCAATTGGCACTAAGGGGCCTAAAGTGTGCCAAGAAAACATCCCCCACACCATTACACCACCACCACCACCAGCCTGCACAGTGGTAACAAGGCATGATGGATCCATGTTCTCATTCTGTTTACGCCAAATTCTGACTCTACCATCTGAATGTCTCAACAGAAATCGAGAATCATCAGACCAGGCAACATTTTTCCAGTCTTCAACTGTCCAGTTTTGGTGAGCTCTTGCAAATTGTAGCCTCTTTTACCTATTTGTAGTGGAGATGAGTGGTACCCGATGGGGTCTTCTGCTGTTGTAGCCCGTCCGCCTCAAGGTTGTGCGTGTTGTTGCTTCACAAATGCTTTGCTGCATACCTCGGTTGTAACGAGTGGTTATTTCAGTCAAAGTCGCTCTTCTATCAGCTTGAATCAGTCGGCCCATTCTCCTCTGACCTCTAGCATCAACAAGGCATTTTCGCCCACAGGATTGCCGCATACTGGATGTTTTCCCTTTTCACACCATTCTTTGTAAACCCTAGAAATAGTTGTGCGTGAAAATCCCAGTAACTGACCAGATTGTGAAATACTCAGACCGGCCGTCTGGCACCAACAACCATGCCACGCTCAAAATTGCTTAAATCACCTTTCTTTCCCATTCTGACATTCAGTTTGGAGTTCAGGAGATTGTCTTGACCAGGACCACACCCCTAAATGCATTGAAGCAACTGCCATGTGATTGGTTGATTAGATAATTGCATTAATGAGAAATTGAACAGGTGTTCGTAATAATCCTTTAGGTGAGTGTATGTTATAAATTCTAAATTCGGACCTGTTGCTTTGAATCGAGTGCAGCATAAAACTGATAAAGGGGAACCAAGAAAATGGACTAGAATGACAGTATGTGATTTTTTTTTATAGAATGGATAAATATTTGACATCAGTAAAGGAATGTACCTTATACAGATCCTAAGGCCAACCACAAGAGGCAAAACCAAAAAAAAAAGAAAAGAAAAAAGTTTCACCAAGTCAGATTTATAAAAACAAACATAAAAATGAATAAACTCATGTCAGTACTAGTATAAGCAAAATTAGTACTACTTACACAAAGCTGATGATGAGTAATGGTTTAGAGAGGTTGCTGAAAATCCCGGCCCCTGGCATGTGCTCAGCAATATGTCTTGTCTGAGTGGAACCTGCACATGCAAATGCAAATATCATATAAATTTAAACCTAAAATATGTAGTGTTTGTGAATATTTGGATGTGCATGAGCTCACCTGCCACGTGTTTGATGCGGTGGATGACCTCGTCGTCTGTTGGTGTGGTAACAGGGCTGAGCGTCTCATCTAGATGGGCTGTGCGGAGGTGAGCGAGACCCCTTTTCCTCCGCCTCAGGGTGGAGTTCTTCACTGCTTTAGGAGACAGTCTGTGGCTTTCCATTACAGCGTCCTCCATCTTTGCTAACTCCAGCTCTGACAAATCAACAGCACTTATTTACTGGTACCGATTTATTTTGGTGATAATTATTTATTTTTAGTTGCGACAAACCACCACTAAAAAGTGGGACCTGATATTGTTGTGGGCGGAGTTCAATTTTGTTATGGGTGGAGTTCAATTTTGTTATGGGTGGAGCTTAATTTTGTTTTGGGTGGAGCTAAATGTTGCTGTGGGTGGGGCTAAATGTTGCTGTGGGTGGAGCTAAATGTTGCTGTGGGTGGGGCTCAATGTTGCAGTGGGTGGGGCTAAATGTTGCTGTGGGTGGGGCTCAATGTTGCTGTGGGTGGGGCTCAATGTTGCAGTGGGTGGGGCTAAATGTTGCTGTGGGTGGAGCTAAATGTTGCTGTGGGTGGGGCTCAATGTTGCTGTGGGTGGAGCTAAATGTTTCTGTGGGTGGGGCTCAATTTTGTTGAGGGTGGGGCTCAATGTTGCTGTGGGTGGAGCTAAATGTTGCTGTGGGTGGGGCTCAATGTTGCTGTGGGTGAAGCTAAATGTTGCTGTGGGTGAAGCTAAATGTTTCTGTGGGTGGGGCTCAATTTTGTTGAGGGTGGGGCTCAATGTTGCTGTGGGTGGAGCTAAATGTTTCTGTGGGTGGGGCTCAATGGTGCTGTGGGTGGGGCTCAATGTTGCTGTGGGTGAAGCTAAATGTTTCTGTGGGTGGGGCTCAATTTTGTTGAGGGTGGGGCTCAATGTTGCTGTGGGTGGGGCTCAATGTTGCTGTGGGTGGAGCTAAATGTTGCTGTGGGTGGGGCTCAATGTTGCTGTGGGTGGAGCTAAATGTTGCTGTGGGTGGGGCTCAATGTTGTTGTGGGTGGAGCTAAATGTTGCTGTGGGTGAAGCTAAATGTTGCTGTGGGTGAAGCTAAATGTTTCTGTGGGTGGGGCTCAATTTTGTTGAGGGTGGGGCTCAATGTTGCTGTGGGTGGGGCTCAACGTTACTGTGGGTGGAGCTAAATGTTGCTGTGGGTGGAGCTCAATGTTGCTGTGGGTGAAGCTAAATGTTGCTGTGGGTGAAGCTAAATGTTGCTGTGGGTGAAGCTAAATGTTTCTGTGGGTGGGGCTCAATTTTGTTGAGGGTGGGGCTCAATGTTGCTGTGGGTGGGGCTCAACGTTACTGTGGGTGGAGCTAAATGTTGCTGTGGGTGGAGCTCAATGTTGCTGTGGGTGAAGCTAAATGTTGCTGTGGGTGGAGCTCAATGTTGCTGTGGGTGGAGCTAAATGTTGCTGTGGGTGGAGCTCAATGTTGCTGTGGGTGGGGCTCAATGTTGCTGTGGGTGGGGCTCAACGTTACTGTGGGTGGAGCTAAATGTTGCTGTGGGTGGAGCTCAATGTTGCTGTGGGTGGAGCTCAATGTTGCTGTGGGTGGAGCTCAATGTTGCTGTGGGTGGGGCTCAATGTTGCTGTGGGTGGGGCTCAACGTTACTGTGGGTGGAGCTCAATGTTGCTGTGGGTGGAGCTCAATGTTGCTGTGGGTGGAGCTCAATGTTGCTGTGGGTGGAGCTAAATGTTGCTGTGGGTGAAGCTAAATGTTGCTGTGGGTGGGGCTCAATATTGCTGTGGGCTATTGTAGTGGATTGGACTTGATATTGTTTATTCTTTTAAAATAAATTAATACTTTTATTAAGCAAGGACACATTAAAATGATCAAAAGTGACCATATTTATAATGTTAGGAAAGATTTTTATTTCAAATAAATGCTGTTCTTTTAAACATTCAATAATCGAAGAATCCTAGAAAAAAATATATCACTGTTTCCACAAATATATTAAGCAGCACAGCTGTTTTAACATCGATAATAATAAGAAATGTTGTAGAAGGAGCTCAAGTTTCTAATGGGTTGAGCTAAATATTGTTGTGTATGGGACTTGATATTGTTGCGTGTGAAGTTCTATTGTTGTAGGTGGAGCTCAAGAAGGTTGTGGTTAGGGCTCAAGATAGTTGTAAGTGGAGCTCATTATGGCTGTAGGTGGTTCATAATGGTTGAAATCGAGTCTTACCAAGGCTTTTAAAGTTCTCATCTAGCCCACTCCAGAAGTTCTTCTCGATGAAGCCCTTCACCAGACCCCATGGCTGTTTCCTGTACCTCAGTTCTGTAGAAACCCTGAAGACAGACGAATCACACCATTGTCAACACACACCTGTAGTAGTGACTTGTATAATCCCCATGGAGAAAATGTTGTTTCAGTAAGTTTCAACATGCATTCATACAGAAAATAAACAATGTACTTAAATATGAAAATCAAACCATATAAAAATTTCAATTAAGCATTTTACTGCCTCTGGCAAGAAGGAACCCCTTTTTTTTTTTTTTTTTTTTTACACTGGCATCCTAAATCTCCGACCCGAAGGTAATAGTGAAGCCTCTCTCTGTTTGACTTTGGCCATAAAACCACCATCCTGTTCACCCGTACCTCAGCCGACACTTGTTCTTGGCCACACGTGTTAGCATGTAGCGGTTTAGGGTGTAAAAGTAGTCATGGTACGGCACGTCATGAGTGATGACTTCCGCATCAATGATGTAGCACTCACTCTCCTGGCTGGCCTTATACAGGGTCTAATTCAGAGGGAAGTTGAATTTCAAACATATTCAACAAAACACACAACTTGCAAAAACAAATAATCCAAAGAACAGAACTGAGGAGAAGTGCAGTCTCACCTGAGTCTCAGTAACTGTAGCTGTTTTAGGAGCCAGAGGGTTGGTCAGGGAGATTGTGTACATGATATCTCTCGTCTGATTTCCCGCATCCTCCTTCTTCCAAGGGTGATACACCACATCTGTGAATGGATGTGTGAAAATTTAACATAGAACCAATACAAGCATTTCAGAAGCAGGGTTATTTTAGTTACCTAATATATAAAAAAACAAATAAAAAATAAATGTTTCACTTTTTCAACTTTAGTTAGTGTGTAATGTTAGCCTGGGTTTCCCCATGCTGCCTTTGCGCAGCGCGATGTTATTCACGCTGCTAGGCAGTCTGGATACCATGGAGCAAATTTTCGCCTCAGCGAGGGAACCAATCACAGAACGGGGAGGGAGCGGCAAGACGATGACGACGTCTATGCGACACACCGAAGCAGTTTGTTTATACCTATGGATCCAACATGGCAGCAGACGCGAAGTTACCTTTCGATGTAGCCTTAGATATTGTTCTACGTAGTTTAGAACGCAAATAAATCTCTGACCCATCGTCTTCTTCATCGTCTAATTTCTGTCGCTCTACATACGTCATCTGGTATAATTGAAACGATTGGCTATGAGCTACGTACAGGCGCATTTGATAGACATTCGTAGCACCCAATAAACGGCTCTGGGCGTTCGTAAACCACGCCTCAAATACGAGAAAATGAACATGTGGTTCCCAGACCACGTCTCAATGTCAATGAGACGTGGTCTGACGTTAGCCAGGCTAGTGTAATGTTGCTTTTTGAGCATAAAATATCTCAAAGTTCACTCCAAAGGGAGATATTCTCTTTAACAGAAAACACTTTTCAAGAACTACAACAAACGGCTTGTTTTTGGCAACAGTGCACTTCTTCCAGATTGTGTGTCACACAAATTTAAATAATCCCTGGTTGAGCTGCACTAGAGAGGAGATAGAAGGTCCTTCTGGATCGCTTTCTGAAACACCAATATGCTATTATAATGGGAAAAAAAATTGATCCTAGACCAGCTTTTCCCTCTAAAAGCAACCAGAAGCAGCAGCAGTTTGACTGAGAAAAGTCCAAACCTTCGTTTGTTGTTCTTATACTATTTTCATTGGTTATTTTCATTCATAAATGGATTTAGTTGTTTTCATGAAACTGGCTGACAATAAATGGCATTTAACTAATCTTAATTGTCAAATTATTTTTATTCCATGTAGGCCTATGGTAAAATGATGTAATTTGAGAGTAGGCATTGAGGTCCACTCACTCGCCTCGCCACTGATAAAAACTATAATAGTGTCTCAATGGTACTAATATAACACTGATCAGAATTATTCTAGACGTGCAGTTAAGTATTGAAACAGATAATACTTCTCAAACTCAAATATTTAATAATTTGGCAAGTAGCCAACTAATAATCAGGATAATATACAGTGAGCCGGAGTTTATTGAAGAATAAAGCTCCTCATGGTCTTGATCACTCTATCAGAGTTTATTTTGGATCGTCCATCAGTTCAGTGAGATGAGATGCTTATGAAGGGTTCTGACCTGTGAATCTCCTCTGGTCCATAAAGTCTGTCATGAACTGGGACTCCGTGAAGAGGATGCCGTACAGCTTATCAACACTGAATTTATACACCTCATTAATGTAGTGACGGCCATTCAGATCTTCGTGGAACGCTTGAACCTCATCTCCTGAACACACATTCAAGAGACACATAAAGATCAACTGTACTGCACTACTCAAGTATTGCCATCAAATTATGTGTAGAGTCTCTTTTCACAATTCGAATGACATTTCCAGAGTGGGACAGAATATGTATTTATGACTTCTGAATATGTATCTACATGTATTAAAGATACACTATGTAACTTTTGGCGCTTTAGCGGTTAATAAACAAAACTGCATGTGTCTTGTGGAAGAACATTGTAGCCTGAGCTAATACTCTCTGTTTATGTATATGACGAATCACAAAGGTAACTTTATTGTTTATAAAAACTTGAAACCAGTGTTCAAAAGTTTGTGTTTTCAGGCCCCCAAAACGCCACTGTCGTGTAAATAAACGTCCAAAACGCATAAAAAGTTTTCAGTTTTTGGAAACGGTGTCGTGTAAACGGCCCCAACAATAGTCTGAATATAAACACTTATTATAGGTGTATCATAGTGATTGAGGATCAGACAAAAACATGGGTTGGAAAATGGATTCATGCTCATTATATACATTTTGAACCAAAAAAAGTTACAAAGTACCTTTAAGCTGCAACAATTCATTGATAAAATTAATAAAAATGTGCAACATTTTTGTGTTGCTGACAAACTGTGGAAACATTTTGATATTTGATTTGAAAATGTGAAAGAGTGCACTTTATATTGTAATGTTTATATTTGAAAGATTTTTGCATACAATAGAATATATAGCATATCCATTTGTCCATATACATACATATATATATAATATGACATCTTCACTCTCTATTCAAATATTAGATTTTTTTTTTTACGATTATGTAAGCACATTCCTTGAAGTCAATTCTTTTATGAAACATGCCAAATTGTGCGGTCATCATTTATGACTGTCATACAAAGTTTATGTCATGCAAAAACCAGAGAGAGGCAACAAAATACTAATAACAGATTATTTGATTAGAAACAATCTGTTTCTTATCAAATAGTTGCAGGCCCTGGTATTTCTAATTTTAAGCTATTGACTGTGTGTACCGCTATTACTGTGTGTCTGTGAGATGACAAGCCTTACATTTTAATTTATTCACTTATTTATATATACTTATTTATTCACGCTTTCACTCACAGTGACTTACAAAGGAGGAACAGAGCAAGCGATTCATCTTAAGGAGGCAGTAACTCAAGAAGTGCTAGCAATATAAGCCGCTTTCCGACCAAGTAGTTACAGGAACTTAGTTATAGGAACTGTCCACTTCTAAACAGTTCTAAGAACTACTCTCCCCCAAACTCGGTTTCGCTGTTTGCGTTCGCACTGGCCAAGTGGCCATAGGAACTGGTAGGAGGGGTAAGGGAGTGACGCAAGCACGGCGGCGGCGGCGCCACATACAACAACAACAAACCAGCGTGGAGGAAGCTATCGGAATGTTCCTGTTCTGCCTTGCCGGGACCTTAATAACAGAGTACGAACGGCGGCGTTTAAAGATCTTGAGTTCTGTACAGAGAAACACAGAAGACGAAGGCTCCAGCGTAATATGATCTTAAGTAATATGATGGAAGAAGATAGAAGAGCAGAGCGCAGGAGGCAAACAAAACGACGGGTAAGTTTAGCAAGCATTAGCAATTAGCTGGTTGAATGCGTTATGTTTGTCTTAAGTTATGAGTTAGCATAGCCTACATAGGCGAATTGCAACAGACAGTGAAGAAAATGTGTTGACAGTGGGCGTGACTTATAAGTTGAACCAATCAACGTAGACCTAGGGAAAGGGAACTAAAAAAGTCCTCGCTCTAGACTAGGTACTGAAAGAGTTATAGGAACTACGGTCTGAGGAACTAAAAAATCCCCAACTTAGTCCGGTCGGAACACGCGAAAAAAAAGGTTATAGGAACGTTAGGTTCTAGGAACTGCAAAAGTCCCTCCGGTCGGAAAGCGGCTATAGTTTCAAACATCGGGGAGGAATGTAAGAAACAGTGAAAGCATTTTTCCAAACCTTCATCATGCGTCTCTGAGGAATCACTGAGATCAGTGGGTATATCCTCGTTGTCGTTGAAGTCGAGTGAAGGCGAAGGAACGGGGCCCAGAGGACTCGGCGGTTCGCTGTTCCTCTCCTCCACCAGCAGAGGGAGAGTCAGAAGATCTCCATCAGCAAGGCAGTCTGTGTACTCCTCAGCTGCAATGTCGAACTGAAACCAGCAGGGGGCACACTTTTAAAAGTAGTTTCTTAAACGGCATCTGTGCAGTGAGCTGGAGCGGGTATACTCACAGACAGTGGTGTGTCAGTGCTGCTGGGAGGTGTGGTGGAGGTGATGGTGGACTGGGTGATGGATCTCTTGTGTGTCAGAGGTGAACTGTTGTCTTGTTTGTTCTCACTGCTGCTCTTGGATGAGTTATCATTACTGACCTCGTTCTCCTCGGCTGGGATCTCCTCACAGTATCTGAACATGCATAGAGAAGCACACATGTGGTATATTTGTCCAACATTCATGTCTGTTAAACACCAAATTTGAATATGTGGGGTTTTGAACAATAGTTGTGAAAGCATGAAGGCTGCCCCTAATAGTCGACTAAACGTTAGTTGACAAGAAGCCCTACAAAGCATGCATGCTTAACTCACCCCATTGTGTTGAAATCATCATCAGGCGGCACGTAGTCTTCATCGTCACTAGTGAGTCCCAGCTCATTGCCGTAGCACTGATGTACAAAGTGCCAGAGCTCTTTAGGGCAGAGTGGCTGAACACAGAGACAGCCGTCATGAGCTCAGAAATAACACATCGTATGTTGAACTTGTCAATCCAGAAATTTTGCAGTGTGTACTTGGCAGCATGAAAAAGCAAAGTGCACACTCTTCTAAGCTGTCAAACTATTCAGTTCAGCGCAAACTCACTGACTAAACTCTGCAAAATGTCACTCTCTATGCTCTCCTGCAAAATATCCCATTATAATAATAATAAAAAACTGGCAACGCTGCACAACGAATCTCTTATTTACATCACATTTACATGTTGTTGGTTATAATTAAAGGATTCGCCAGCGTGCAAAACTTGCACTTAATAAAAACACATTTTGAGCAGATTAACATTATTTATTATTATACATTTTATTTATAGGTGCCTTACATGACACTCAAGGACACCTTACAAACACAATAAAACGATCAACATTAAACAGATAATCAACATTACAGTCTGGACAGACTGAATAAAAACATAAAAGTAATCACATAAACGCCTGCCTAAAAAGATGGGTCATAAGAAGAGATTTAAAAACACGAACGTGACTAAAGGTTCGGGAGCCCATAGAAGTTGTACGAGTTCGATGGCGAACAAGAGTGAGTGCAGAAGATGATCTTAAAGTACGAGTAGGAGTGTAAATATGATTATGAAGAAGGTCAGATAAGTATGAACGGGCAAGATTATTGAGTGGCAGATTGGTTTTTGAGCCGACAAGAAGAATTTCTGTTTTACAGCAATTAAAGGGATAGTTCACCCCAAAATGTAAACTCTGTCAGTAATTCCTCTCCCTCATGTTGTTCTAACCCCGTAAGACTTTCGTTCATCTTCGGAACACAAATGAAGATATTTTTGATTAAATCTGAGGGGTCTCACTCCTCCATAGGCTTCTAAGGGATTGAAACTTGCCGGCCCAAAAGTTATTAAAGACATCGTTAAAATAGTCCGAGTGACTACAGTGGCTCAACCTTAAAGATGAACTGAACTGAAAAAAATCTTAAGTTTATCAAGCGACGAGAATACTTTTTGTGCACAAAAAAACAAACACAAATAATGACTTTATTCAACTATTCATTTCCTTCTCTGTGGGCCTCGAGATTTTACGTAAAGTAACAGCGCAGCGCTTCTGGGTTGTACGTCACACTCATCACACACATGACCAGCGTCGGCCAATAGTGAGCCTGCGTGTGACGTACAACCCAGAAGCGCTGCGCTGTTACACTACGTGAAATCTCAAGGCCAACAGAGAAGGAAATGAATAGTTGAATAAAGTCGTTACTTTTGTTTGTTTTTTTGTGCACAAAAAGTATTCTCGTCGCTTGATAAACTTAAAGATTGAGCCACTGTAGTCACTCGGACTATTTTAACAATGTCTTTAACTTTTCTGGGCCGGCAAGTTTCGATCCCTTAGAAGCCTATGGAGGAGTGAGACAGCGCTCAGATTTAATCAAAAATATCTTAATTTGTGTCCCGAAGATGAACGAAAGTCTTACGGGGTTGGAACAACATGAGGGTGAGTAATTACTGACAGAGTTTTCATTTTGGGGTGAACTAACCCTTTAAGTTTAAGACGACTTGATGTAAACCACTCTTTAATCTCTGCTAAACAATCTGAGAGGACAGATGGAGGAAAAGTAGAGGTAGGGTTTGAGGATAGGTAAAGTTGCAATGGAATTGAATAGCACATTTCCGACAAATATTACCAAGGGGTAAAAGATAAATAATAAATAAGAGAGGACCCAAAAGTGAGCCCTGCAGAACACCCGTATTGACGTACGCAGGCTCTGATCTAAACGGCTTCAGCTGTACAAATTGAGTACGACCCGTAAAGTGGGTACCAATGATTTCAATAGACTGTCTGTCTAAAAGAATGCTGTGCGAGATAGTGTCAAATGCTGCACTCAAATCGAGCAGAATAAGTATGGATAAAAGTCCAGAGTCAGCAGCTAACAGTAAGTCATCAGAGATCTTAACTAATGCACTCTCAACACAATAAGGACAGAAACTGGATTGAAATTGCTCGAACAAACTATTATCAGAAAGATGATCCCGGACCTGGGATGCAACAATCCTTTCCAGCATTTTAGAAAGAAACGGTAGATTTGAAATGGGGCAAAATGATCAGCCCCCGGTTTCTAATATCCTGGCACAGATATTGCAGAGAGTTTCCACTTCTCATTATATCATTTCCCTAAACCCCACCAAGGCACGGGGTTTGCAGGTGTACAGTAAACATAGAATGATTGAGTTGAGAGAATCATTACTTTGTTTCCATGTCTTAAACCACTGATTGGACCTTTTTTTTCAAATTAATATCAGTATAAACAGCATTACCATGTTTATATTCTCACCTTGTCCAGCAGTGCGTTCTGCCAAAGTCTGAACATCATCATGTAAGTCCTGTCTCTCGCACCAAACGACGTGAAAAAGTGCTGAAGGGAAGATCGAGGACAACTTAACTGAATGTGTTAATGTGTGCAGTCGTATCTGAGTGCGGTTGTGTGTCTCTCACCTTCTCAGTGTCCGTGCACACCTGGATGGCATTGGGAATCAGACGCGCTGTTTTCTCTTTCGTCATGGAGCAGATGTCTTTCAGCCGTACTGTAAGCTGTTCACATGCAACAGAACAACAAAACACAACATAACTCTTCTCAGATCCAAAGGTTTTAGTAAAAGTGCCCGTATTGTGCCAGAACTCCGGCGCAAAATGAACCTTTGGTCTAATTACACATTGTTACCTAGTCAACCGTTATCTGAGATTTGTTTTCATGATTATCGAATGTAAATAGTTTTATCTCTAAAAACAGTTTAGCCTATAAAGCTAGTATAACGCTAGTATATTGGGCATAGAGTAATGACAAATAAAAATCGCTTGTTAAAGGGTCATGAAACCCCCCTCTATCAGCTCAAGTCTAGCTCATAATCTTTTTGAAAAATGCAACTTAAATGGGCGTGGATGGCTGTGTGAAGAAGGGAGGGAGTGGGTGTGGCACGGCAGGGGAGAGGGGGAACTGTCATCAGCCAGCAGTGTTGCCAGATGTACGATAATTATCGTATTTGTACAATAATTTTGACCTCTGTACAATGTACGATCAATAATGAACAATAATCTCAGAGTTTTCAGTCGTTCGTCCAAACACACATCCTACCGCTTCTCCCCCCGACCTCGAATCATTTCGCAGGCTCGCCTGCCTGCACGTACACACACACACACACACACACACAACACGGTGTCGCCCGGCCCGCACGTCAACACTGCACATTCACAAGTCTCCCGCATTAAGCATACAATTGATATATTATCGAAATATCTAAAATGTTCATAACGACCGCTTATTTAACAAAATGCAAGTAAAATGACCAGGGTTACATTTTAGACACACACTCTGAAGGGATAGAAAAGTCCTCAGGACTTGGTACCGCATTACTCGCAAGACGTAACTTGCATTGGTCATCGACAAGGCCGAAGTCCACCATTCTCCAATTCTCGAAGCTCTCTCGGGTAAAATGTTTGCGGCACTTGCGTCCCATGATGGTCTCGCTCCTTTACTACGCGATATCACAGTTTGACATGTCTGTGGAAAGATCCACGTGGTGTCATGAATAATTAAGAGACCGTGTCTTCTCATAGGATATAAAAACTCAGTCTCATTAATAATTATGAGAGACCGATGAGTCATCAACGCACTACACTGTGCACTGCCACGTCACAGCCTGCGATGAAGATTTTAAACCCGGAAGACGAAAATAGCTGGAAAAAACTCAAATTTAACCATTTTCGCCCTACTATTAAATCTAACAGATGCTAACATTGTCTTCAATGTTGTTCAACACACATACCTCTGTTAAAATCTCAGAAAATTTGGTTTAGGGTTTCATGACCCTTTAATACCACTAACAAGGCTCAAAATAGCCCCACACTAGCACGCTAGCATAATGAGGGTCCCTACCTTCAAACCGAAGCATTGAGAACTTTGTCAGTGTCCAGACAGTTTAATAAGAAGATATTTTATACATACAGTCAACTTCGCGTATTCAGGCAGAAGCCATCTTTGAAATACAGTCTTTACCAGTCGATCTACGAACACCGATCCAAGCCTGCTGTTCGCGCTCACCTTATCACAACTTATAGCTCGTTCACATTCTCACCAGCGCACTTGGATCGGCGTTCGTAGATCGACTGGTAGAGACTGTATTTCAAAGATGGCTTCTGCCTGAATACGCGAAGTTGACTGTATGTATAAAATATCTTCTTATTAAACTGTCTGGACACTGACAAAGTTCTCAATGCTTCGGTTTGAAGGTAGAGACCCTCATTATGCTAGCGTGTTAGTGTGGGGCTATTTTGAGCCTTGTTAGTGGTATTAACAAGCGATTTTTATTTGTCATTACTCTATGCCCAATATACTAGCGTTATACTAGCTTTATAGGCTAAACTGTTTTTAGAGATAAAACTATTTACATTCGATAATCATGAAAACAAATCTCAGATAACGGTTGACTAGGTAACAATGTGTAATTAGACCAAAGGTTCATTTTGCGCCGGAGTTCTCCTTTAAAGGTCCATCATTTTGTTTTAGAGGTCTCCTACAATAGGTTTACATGCATCCAAGGTAAAAAAACACTTGAATTTTCTCATAACATACATTGCAGCATCAAGTCTTTCCTCACAGTGTCTGAATCTAAACCCCTCCTTTCTGAGAGCCTTCTCTGCTCTGATTGGTCAAACGGCCCAGTGTGTTGTGATTCGTCAGAAACCAAACACTCATTACCATATCTGTATCAAGAGCTGTGTAAGATCCAGAGCTCAAATTCACAGTGATACGAACAGTAACATCGCCGTTGGTTTTACAGTATCAATTCGAGTGCGAGTCCTCATTCTGTGGAAGTGGATTTGCTTTCGCTGTGCAGAAAAGAGCATCTTCTCAACATGTCGACAACATAAACTAAACTCTTCCAGTCTCAGCTACAGCTAGTGTTTGAGGGTCAAAGTAGACATTGTTCATGAGCAGCCGATGAAGACCAAAGGGCTGGCATTATGCAAACTTGTTACAAACCGAAAGGCAGGATGTAAGACGTGGACTCGTCTCAGACAGTTCACAATCGCTTCTTTTTTGGGGGAGACGATAATCTGTGAAACTTTGCAGACCTTTTACATTCACAAACAGCTATATTCCGCACTACAGGAATGGTAATATCCCAAAAAGCATAATAGGGTGTGTATCATACCAGAGTCTCCCAGCGAAAGATGTTGCTATAAAAACAGATCCAGTTTTCGGAGAGGTAGAGGCGGCCCTGCAGGAGGATGTCCCGCTGGAGAGCGCAGGAGTAGTCTGCCAATGAGAGGACAAGGTCAGCGTTCAAAAGATGTCTCTCATGTCAAATCATTCAATTCAATATTTTTTTCCCATTATATTTCAGTTTTGTATCCGTCAAGTTCCAAATAAAATAAGAAAATAATCAAATAAATTAAGAACCTTTAAACTGTAAAGCATCTCATTCAATTATAAATGAACTATTAATTATACATTTAATACTTAATTATAGTTTTATAGTTAAATATAATTTCTTATTAATTATAAATTGACACTCTTTCAAATTCCAAGTCAAATGGAATCTAAAATTTTATAATTTTAATAACACATTTTAATGAAAATATATTAATATTAAATATCTACTTACACTAAACAAATTATACTTTGGACCAACTTAAAAAAATACTCTAATTTGTTACAGCCAAATTGATTAGTCTTTCTCAATTATATTTATGGTTTGGATCAAACCTTAAATTTGGATTTAATGTTAATCAAAAATATGTATTGTCCCAAAGACAAATACATTAATACAAAGTAAAAATATTATTTATTATATAGACAGTATTCTTAATAAATATATTTTCTTTAAACATAAGCTAAATGTATGTATTATGCAATGATTGTTAATGTGACATATATATTTACACGCACACACGCACACACACACGCACACACACACACACACACACACACACACACACACACACAAAGACACGCACGCACGCACACGCACGCACACACACGGCTTCATACAACTTAATTTCACCACAAAAAAGACTATTAGCTTTAATATTAAAGTAGAACTTTTACTTAAGATAAAAATAATAACATTAAGTTTACTTACTATAAATAAATAAAAAAACTTCAAAACTCAAAAGACCTTAATGTTTATTGTAAAAATGTTTATTGTAAAAATATGCATTTTATTTTCTGTATGTACTAAGAAAACAAAAACAATCATAAAGCCATAAGGCCAGCCAGTGTGTGTTCGGCACATCAACACTCGGATGTCAAGAGAAAATATTATTTAAACAAAATTGTTTCTATACATTTTTTTTCTATGTGGAGTTTTATTTGCTTTTAGACAAACTGAACAAAACAGCTTTCAAGTGGAAGCCATGATTTTTCGCTTTTTCCAGTGTATAATACAAAAATCAACTAGGTGACCAAAATTTGTAAAATATTGTTCACAGGTATTTACTTTAGCTCTCTCTTATCATGAATACTATGTCAAAATGCTAATTTGAAGTCTTTGATTAGTTAATGATCACACTCTTACCCACAATAAGACGCTCTGTGTCCGGCAACTGCTTGAAGAGCTTCCTGAAGTCTTCATTACGCTGCTTATATGTGGGACTGAGGACCTACAACACAAATAAAGCAGCAGATGAGGAACACACACACACTCGCAGTAAGAAACAGCCGTTCTGCTCTTTCACACAGCTGATGTTCAGTCAAACGCTGGTTTAGTTTTGCCATGCAGCAGCCAGCGTGAGATGAACCACAATGAGTTCATTCCCAGTGTGTCGCGACAGAAGACGCGAGTAAACGACGTGTGTTAATGAGCCAAAGTACAGCAGGCATCATTAACAGCAGAGCAAAAGTAGACAAATGCTCTAAGACAAGACAAAACAATCACGTTCGATTTTGATAAGAGTCTTGAAATCAACAGTGTAAAATGGTGATCCTTACACGCAATATCGAACGTGATACTCTATTGCCACGGAAGAAACAACAACAACAACAACAACAATAATCTTATGAGAAATACCTTTAAAATATCACAAATACCTTTAGAACTAAACAGAAATTAAGGCAACTATGTTTATATTAATATTACATAGGAATAAGTGGTTTAGAGAATTAATGAATGGAAGGATGGACGTATTATATTATATCAATTTATTTGCTGAATTCTATTTAAAAAATATGAAATTAACATTAAATATATAGACAGTACTGACACTGTTAACATTTAATAAATTGTTTTTAAATGGTAATTTCTCAATATTACAATGAGTAAGTACCCGTATATATATATATATATATAAACACACGGTTAATTTTTCAATATTAAAATGAGTAAGTACCGGAGTATATATGAAGAGTTCAGATGCAAAAGCCTCTAAATGCCATCTGAAATTTTCTTCTAAAATGATCATTTTTATCAAGCTCTTATATTTCAGTTCAATAATTTCACTTAAATGGCAAGAAAAATTACCCATTAATTGTCATTTAAGTGAAATTACTGAATTTAAATATACGAGCTTGATAAAAATGATAATTTTAGATCATTTTCACTTAAATGGCAAGAAAAATTACCCATTAATTGTCATTTAAGTGAAATTACTGAATTTAAATATACGAGCTTGATAAAAATGATCATTTTAGAAGAAAATTTCAGATGGCATTTAGAGGCTTTTGCATCTGAACTCTTCATATATATATATATATATATATATATATATATATATATATTCCTAAATGTATGATATTAACATATAGAGAGAACTGACATTTAAGTGCTAGCATTTTAATTTAATGTTTTTTCTATCTTATACCAAGTTAAAGAGTAATTAATTAAAATATATTAAATATTTGTATTATTGTTTTTTATTATATTTATTTATATTATATAAATATTTGTTTAACTTATAAGAATAAAAACTGACTTTATGTATGTACAATATTGTACAGGGCTCGATCAATCGGTCAAATCGGTCATTCACTTGTCAGAGTAAAAAATTTACTTGTCCGGCAAAAAAAAGAAGATTTTTGGTGGTGTAAATAAAATGTATTCTGAAGCAATATTCTCATCAGAGTTCTATCAGCTTTTACATACTTAAATCTCCAGATTTTTTTATATTTACCCCAGGGTGTTTATAAAGGCTTTAATAATAATAATAATAAAAAAACCTTATCAAATGCATCATGTTTGATGTCAAATTCCTACATTTGAACAATAAAAGCAATTATAATAAAAAAAATAAAAAAAAACTATAGGGCTGTTACCAATCAAATTAAATCATTTAAACTGCAATAAATAGTGTTATGAGTTTGATGTTTCATTGAGTAACAAACCGCCGCTGTTGCTTTGAGAATGCGCGATAGTTCTGCTGTGATCTTTGTTTGGAACTATTTTCGTTGGTGAAACAGAACAAAAAAAAGTTAATATTGTGTCTAAAATATAAGTGACTTAATATTAACTACTTGTTTATTGACCTATAAAATCAATATAACATTTGCAGTCGTTATAATATTCAGCAAAATAGCTCCCTTGGTCGTGTTATGTTGCATAACTATATCATGCGTTATAAATAAATGCAAAAAATCTACTTTTTGAATCTTTACCACAGTATGTTTCTTCTTATAAAGTGAGTATTTTATACTGTAACGCTCATTTGTTTTGATTTCTCAGTTGCCGTTTACACGGAATACAATAAAATTAGGATCATTCTCGCGTTTCGATGCTTTTCTAGTTGTTTTTTGTCAGAAGTTTTAATCAGGCTGCTTGTCCGTTCGGAAAAGTTAAATTCTCTTTCACTTAAATAAAATAAAAATAAAAATCCACTTGTCCCAAGCGTTAATGTCAAGCCCTGCTGTATACACTGTATATACACAATCGTTTTTATTATATATTTAAATAACTTTAATGCTGTACACTGCCCTATTACAATCAACAGTGGACCCTACTCTAGTCTTCTGCTGAATCTTTATGGAGACTCACGGCAGGTATTTCCTCATCCTGGTACGGGTCGTCCCTCGGGCCCCAGTGCCGGTCTGAACCCTGAACTAACCATCCCGCCAAAGCCTCCTCCAGCTCCATTAGTGTCTCCCAGTCCTCCTGCGAGTCCAGTGATGAATCCATGCTTCGGTTTCTCTCTCGTACTACAGCCAACGGATCGATCAGTTCATCAATGACAAGATCCTGAGAATATTTTGGATTCGGATGGGTCTGTAAATAAGTATCCCAGACTCAGTCGCTCCTTCAAAGGTTTGTCTACGCTATCGCAGATGTTCATCAGGGTGTGACGTCCTCTATCAGGGTGTGTGTGAGTGTCTGGCTCTTCAGTTGTGGCTCGCAACACTCACACGCAAGTGGCCTTTAGTAACCAGGGCAGACGGATGCTTTATTATGCTGCTGTTTGTTCCAGTTTGCTGCTGCAAACATGTCCGTCTTGATTCTTCATCCTTTTTTTGAGCTGTAAACGCGGTGACTAAAGGGTTGATAAAGGAGGAACATCCAAGTTACTTCCGCAAGCGATCATTAATCGTTACCTCAGTATGCAATGGCCACTAATATCAGGTTGTTGGCTTTCAGAGAATGTTCTTCTGGGAGTTTAGTCCATTAGTCCTCAGAGTTTGTGCTTGTTTTTTGTATTCACCAGTTGTTGCTGCTAGACTTCAAATGGTCTTCGAAAATGACAAATAAAGACCATCTGGAAACTCTCTGTGCCAATTCCTTTGGTTATCGTGTCCTTTTTTTGGATCATTTACGTGTTCTAATGTAGGATTCACACCTCCATCTCTCAACCCCAACCTCGACTCACTTGTGCCTTCTCATTTGTGCTGTCAGACACCTAAAGATAACCAAGAACAAAGACTGACACATGATCTCCAGCAGTCATGGGATTCTGCTTGTGTGAGCGACAACTTTAATCTCCGTCCCAAAAGTATTCTCTCTTCAGCGGTTATACATTAATAACCATAAAGGCGAATGGATAGTTTCTCCCAATGGAGAATCAGATATCCAATAACCTTCCAGTGGAGATCCAGAGCAGCAGAAGATAGTTTGGAGCACAACAGCTCTATCTGATTTATGTAGAGCTGGATGTGTGTGTGTGTGTGTTTACTCCTGGCGATGAGCATGTAAAGTTGGTTATATATTAACTGAAAGAGTAAATAATGAGAGACGCCGGCGGCTGGTACCAAGAGTGGGTGTGACAACTCCAATAATGTCATCAGGGGATCAGTTTGTTGTCAGAGGCACGCGAGACAATGTCTAGTGTGCAAACTTTCAGGGTGCGATCTGTTACGGTTAGTCTTTCGCAACTCAAATGGTCTTTTATGTGCAAATGTCAACCTTAAAGGGGATAGCTCACCCAAAAATGAAAATGAAGTCATCATTTACTCACCCACATGTTTCACCAGACTTTCTTTCTTCTGTGGAAGATACTTTAAAGAGTGTTGGTGACTAAAACATTTTGGTGACCATTGATTTTCATTGTATGGAGAAACAGAAGAAAAAGTGAGCAAATGATGTCAGAATTTTAATTTTTTTGGTGATTTATCCCTTTAAAACACACTAAAGTAGTAATGTTATATACAGTATGTGTGATCTATATCTATAGTAAAGCCATATATAATACCAGTACAGATGTTTTGTTAGTAACTAATTAATAATAATAACTGTTTTCTATGGTTACCGCCTCAAGTAAACACAACTTCAGTTCACACGCATTTATTTGAGTTTCGGGTGAAAGTACTGTATGTACTCTGAGTAACTTTGAAATATTGAACTTTTGAAATGTTCCTTAAAACGTACAATTATGGGCCAGATTTACTAACAGCGCAGGCCAGCGCAAACCCTATTTTGGTGTTAAAAAACTACTGTCAGCATTTACTAAAGACAGAATTAGTGCTGAAAAGATGTGGACAGGGTTATTTTTGCGGCTGACATTTTTATTATCTTGGTAGATTGCATTGGTCATTATGGAAATGATCCGGCTGCGTCTGTATTCTTTAATTTGCGTGTCGTTTAGATCACGCGCAGAACTTTCCATTCCCATCGGCACTTTTATGGGATTGAGCTCTCTTTGCCCTTTGAAAATTTGCCCTGATTAGTAAAGCTGGCCCTAAAAGTCTTTATCATTTGTCTCATATACGATTTATTGTTTTAGCATACATATGAGACTTCCCAAACCAAGACTTCCATTGCGAGAGTTCAAACCTTAAAGTTTGATCCATCAGACAAAAATGAACATTTTAAAGAATGTTGGTGACCGAACAGTGTTGGTGACCATTGACTGAAGAAAGAATGTAATACAGTAAAAATGTAAAAAAATCTCATTGAATCATTTGGATGCAGCGCAAAAATGTGTGATGATCACAACAATACAATGAAAAGGCCTTTGTGTGACACGTCTGCTCTGGGATAATGTTACACAACCTCTTTCGATTCACACTCCCTGTTTATGACTTTCCCAATTCTACCTCGAAAGTGGTGAGAACAAATGTGTCATGAAACTGCTGCCTTAAAATAAACTACTTCATACAAGCTTTGTACAGTGTCAGATGACATCGAGCTGTAATAATCAGCTCTAATCAACATAATCTGCAACACAACAATGCAGTGGCCATGCAATTTGGTGGCCAGTGGGCTTCAGAACGGTTGAGATGTAAATTCACAGGGCCATGGGAGATCATCACTGCCCATATGAACACACAGACGCACATATACACTCCACAGACAATGCATCAAAAATGTACACCACTTATAAATATGCCACCGCATGAGATCCTGCTGCTGAACTGCCCAGTGTGCATTTAGTATGCATCAAACAACTCACATCCATGCATGTGCAGTGTTATCAACCAATCACATCCCGCCGCTGAGAACCAGAGCCAATCAGAGAGATGCACAGTCTATTTACTGCGACTCTCTAACGCTGGCGCCATGCAGGTTCTTGTGAAAAAGAAGTGCGCTTAATTGAATTGAATCTGCGCTTGTAGTGTACTTTAAGTCTTAAAAGTATATTTGTTAAAAGACTGTGCTTGCAGATAATATAATATTAATGAAATAAAAAGCCATTTAAATACACTTAAAGAGAGTACACTTGCATGATTGCTTCTTAACACACTTAAGTGCACTTTTTAAAAGTGTGCTTTGTATTAATGCCAAATTAAATGTTGTACTTTAAAGTACATTTTAAATCATTATGGCTGAATAATCTTTTGTCGTGCTTTAATGATGTACACTTCTTTTGATGTGTTACATGTTAAGTATTTAATTATAATTTTAACTGTATACAACTTTTTAAAAGTGTGGTAAAGTGTACTTTTTCACAAGAGGGTATTAATGCCGTGCATTGTGTGTTTTAGCCTTTGGTTTAATGCAGTCAGGTGGGAAGATGCTATGATTGGGTCATTAGAGGAGCACACGCATGCCAAAGCCTGTTAGAGCCACAGTTCAGTCCTCACTCCTCATACTGACGCTCGTGTGACAGGAAACAGGAAGTGGAGTGTAAAATCATGCTTACTCTGAGAATGTGCTGTCTCTCATGCTGAAGAGAAAAAGTGAACGAAAAAGAGAGAGAGAGAGAAGAGAGGAGCAGACAAAAAGATCCACAGACAGAAAAAGAAAGCAAAGATAAAGGACTGAAGAAAAAAGGAAGATATTGTGGAATGAAAAGTGATTGAAACTAGATTATGATACAACTCCGCTCTCTTGTGGCTAATGGTAAAAAAAAGAATAAAAAAAATTGATATTTGTATTATGCAATACAGAGCCCGGGATAAAAAATGTTTTATTTACTGGTCGTCCTCTCGTTTTAGTAAATCATGGCTATGATTTCATAATTCGTCCTTGTTTTCAGTAAACCATACACACAATATAATACTTTGTTCCCTCAATTTAGTAAATCATGGCCACGTTGTACTCATCTGTTCCCTGGTTGTGCTTTAGCTATAAAACAAGGGAATGAATTAAAACAACATGGCCACGATTTAGCTAACCAAGAAAAAAATTATTATATCGTGCACACAATTTAAAAGGGAATGAATTAGTAAAACGTGATGACGTATTAATAAGTCATGGGAACGATATGCATATTTTTCCCGCATGTCATGTGTGGGGCTCCGCACTATAATGATAATTAATGATATAACATAAAAAGTATTCAAAGTTAATGTAATTGCTATAACAAGTACATAGTATGTATGCAGAACAGGACTGTAGAATAAAGTGCTTTAATTGTTCCTTTAGGCAAAAGTACCTCATAGTACCATGTAAATACTAATATGTTGCTATGAATTTCTTACACATTATGTGATACACAACACTGTTGACCCAAAACTTGAAGAGGCGGATGGTTGTAATCAGTCACAGTGACACATAGATGTAAAATATGAGGAAATTGATAACAAGATCGTGAGTCCGATAATATTTGCAGCTGAACCACTGAATGACAGAGGAAAGAGCAACAGATCTGTAAATCATTATTAAAACAACACAATAATTCTCGTTTGTTCACGTCTGACACACGCAAAGTCAATTTGAAAGTAATTCTCTATTTTAAAAAACCCCCCCAACCTATTATAAAACAATAATTAAATAATAAATAAAATTAATTAAATTAAATTATCCTGTTCCCTTGCTCAAGCAATATCATGTTACTGTAACACAAAGAACGCACTGTGTAGTAACATTTATGGCAAGGTGGACACACAATCAATAGTACAAGTATCACACACACACACACACACACACACACACGCACCCACGAACACACACGCACACACACACAATTAATAGGAAGTGTGACTTACGTTGTACCAGCTCTGGCTTTTCTGAAAGAGAAGGAGAAGAAGATTATTATATTACGGAGAGCAAAAGAGTAGCATTATTTGCAAACGCCCCCTCACACACAGAGTGTGTGTTCACAGAGCGAGGGCCTGTCATGTGGCAGCTGCTGAAGTCTGTTAGACTGACATTTGCCTTCACTGCATAATTACACATGTATTCATCATTTGGCCTTTCCACAAATAGAGTGATACAAAGATAGATGGCTAAATGAGCAGTTTCAAAGGTGAAATGGCATGGGAATAAGACAAATTCACACCCGTATGAACCAAAATAGAAACTTAAAGAGACTTTTCAGGGGGTGTTTGTGTACAGGCGTGACATCACTACCGCTCTATTTATAACTCAACACAGTCCAGCTCAGTCTAGATGTTTCACTCAGGACAAAAAATCTATTTAAATGTCTGTAGGTTGATATCGGTTAGTTTCAAGGCAATCGATATGCTAGTTTACAGCTAAATGATAAACATATAAACAGTATTAAAATAAACTTTTAGTAAATAGACATATTTAAAATGAGCTTTCTCCTGAAAATTGGACCAAAAATATTGATGACATCAGCTCTTGCTTAGAGGGAAATCGAATAGCGACTTTATATTTCGCAATTGCAAATTTACATCTCATACTTTTGACTTTAAATTGCAATGACATTTTGATATTTCTCCATTGTCTCATTATGACTTTTTTTTTGTAATTATGACTTTATATCTTGCAAATTGACTTCATTAGTCGTAATTGTGACAATTATGACATTGTCTCAAAATGTGACTATTTTTCGTAATTATGACTTTATATCTTGCAAATTAACTTTGTAATTATGAATTTAGATCTTACAATGACTATTTCTTGTAATTATGCATTTGTGTCTCGCAATGAGACTATCATAATTTGACGGTATATCTCATAATGTGACTATTTTTCGTAATTATGACATTATGTCTTGCAATGTCACTATTTTTTATAATTATGACTATACCTGGCAAAGTAAATTTATTAGTTGTAGATATTACTTTGTATCTATTCACTACATTATTCACTTTTTGTAATTATGACATTGTATATAACAATGTCCCTTTATTTCTCATAATTGGCTATATCTTACAAAAGTGTCCATTTCTCATAATTATTACATTATATCTCAAAATTTGACTTTATTTCTCATAATTATTACATTATATCTTAGATTTTATTACAGAAATTGTCACGCAATGTGACAATTTCTTTTAATTATGACTTTATATCTTGCAAAGTGAGTCGCCAGGCTGTGACATTAACTATCCGACCCCAACTTTCAAAAGGAGCAACACAGGACATAAACTTGCACTCGTCGAAAACATTTCATGGGGTCTTTAAGGGCACAATTACCGGCCTAGCAAACAACTCATGGAAAAAAATAATGTTCTTGCCAACAGAAAAGGTAGTGTGAGATACATGTCTTTCCAAAAACAGTCTGAATTATGGAGATAAACTAGTTTTACAGACTTCATAATCTTAATAAAATAAAATGGGGGAATCACTTAAGCCGAAGACAAATTCTCACGCTTTATTCGTTTGTAAAGCTACGACACATAATGGGCTCACTTGTTTTATAGTCTTGGTTAAAGTGAGCAGACAAAACGACAAGAAGTGTGTGTCAGCCGATAAGCCATTCAATTAGCCTACTGCTCTAAAAAGAAGGACACCTGTGTGTGTGTGTGTGTGTGTGTGTGTGTGTGTTACTGTGAAAGATAAGCCTGACCTGCAGCACACAGCTCAAGTTGTGTCTCGTCCATGACCCTTTAAACCTATAGATAAACTCACACAGACCTGCTAACACACATACTGGTCTATTCCGTCAAGGCTCGGGGATTGGGCGGTTTAATGTGGGCTAATCTGATCTAAACTCAAGAGAGGTGTGAGACGGGTCCTTCGTGTGTACATATGGACAGAGAGAGAGAGAGAGAGAGAGAGAGAGAGAGAGAGAGAAGAATAGTTCAGGAGTGCTAACACGGATGAACTAACACTTAAGGTATAGTGTTAGTTCAGGGGTCAATCGAAGAACAACATGAAATGCTTACTTTAATCAGGTTTAATCTGTCATACTGTAAAACAATGAAAACAGAATGAAAAAGAAAAACAGAGAAACTGGAAGCTCATTTAATGCATTCGGCACATGCCGTTATCCAAAGTGTGTTCCCTAGGAATCGAACCCGTGACCTTGGCGTTGCTCGCGTCCGTCAGCCGCCTACCTAACAGCATTTTAAAGCATCATAAGAACACTCCTATAAAATAAAATAAAAAAATGAAATAAGAATCCATAATAGAGGACCGAGTAGAGAGAAATGTCTATTAAAATAATACCAAACAAAATCTATAAAAGTGCCCTTACTAAATCCAACCTACATGCAATTTGAATTATTTCTTGTCTTATTAATTCGATTATCGAGTCATTATCATAGCATCATACTAACTGTTGGAATCACATGTACTTCACAAAGAAAGAAAGAAAGAAAGAAAGAAAGAAAGAAAGAAAGAAAGAAAGAAAGAAAGAAAGAACGATCTATGGTCTGTTTTACATGGGATTGATTAATAATTAAAAGATTTACTCTTTTACTAAATTATCGATCAGAAAACAGTCAGGAATTCCCTCAATCTACTAGATAAATCATTACCTCTCTGAAAAGACTCATGACTCATGGGACAAATACAGTAGAGCTGATTATTCAAGGATTTCATCACACAGCATTCGAAAGTCATATAGATTAAAACTGCTGGAAGTTTTGCATGTCAAATTTTTACCCACAATTTAAAAGAATGCACTTATATCCGTGTTATTAAAATCTCTTTCATATAGGCATACATAAAGACGGTCCTCTCCTGATGCTGGCCATGATGACATCACACACTGTTTTCCTTAATCTTCCCGACATGGCAACCATGCACACATGCTTTCTCTAGGATGCAGAAAATGCACTGATGATCTGAAGACACAGGCAAACATGTGCGTCGCAGTTTAGCGATCTCCGTGGCGAATGAGTGCAATACAGCCAGTCTGTGTTTCTTCACGAGACAGCTTGTGCTGTTTACCAATAAATCTACAATCAATTATTCTCAGAGCCGAACTGTAATAAATCAGCCTGGTCTCATTATTAATGCATAGGCATTAATACATAACATTTACAGGTACAAAGCGTGCATTTTCAATGCTGAAACGTACAATTTGGACGTATTAACAACATTCAAACGTAACCATTATTGCGTATTTACAGCTAAATAAAACATTTATGAATCTTTATATCACAAAGATATTTAGAATAATTGCCCTTTTTACCATTTTATAGACACATTTTTAGATCCCTTAACCCTACCCCAAACAACAAAACAATTTTATAGATGATATAAAAAGAATACATGAAACATAATAAGAAGAAATAAAGAAATGTGTAGGAAATTTAAGGTTTTAGTAACACTATATGTACAGTATATATAACAAGTATAGTCAGATTTGGTTTCGATTTTCCTGGCTGTGTCTAAAATCACCCGGATACTCTTAAATAGGGCACTATTTGAGGGGACAGCCATTTATAGTGGTGTCCGAAACCATAGTGGACGCTATCGAGTGCACTCATTCAATCCCACAATGCACCACAATAACGAGCGTACAACCGATAGTGTGCAACTCAATGGCTAGAGAATACCCATAATGCACTGTGAGAGGCATGCCGAATGAATTCCTGCGTCTCGGCAGAAGATGGCGCCTAAAGCTGAATCATCCATCCATACATTCAAACCGCTGGTCCAATGTGGCTACAGCGTAATATCATACAGGTATTAATTCAGTTTTAATTTATTGATTAATAAACAGCAAGCACAAACTATGGAAAAGCGGCAGGCCTTCCAGCGCACTCAGTGTCCGAATTCACTCACTCGTTTTCATTCACTCCCTCAAGTGAACTATATTAGTGGAGTAATGTAGGGAATAGTGAATAAGGGGCGATTTCGAACACAGCACTTTTGAACTGATTGCAAATGCACTGCTGAGAATGGAGATGAAGATCACTGAATAAAAGCTCGAATTTGGGTCTGTTCTTCGCGATCACATGGATTCCTAAGATTTGGATTACAGCACACAAATAAAACTGACTACTTTTGTGAATTTATGTTGCATTTTTGCCATATTGTATGGTTCTGTTGTCAGTCACAGCTTAAGACAATAATGAGAAAATGCCATCTGTGTTCCACAGCAAACAAAATCAATAATGGTTAAAACGATATTCATTTAAAGGTTTTAAAGTGTAGTCTTGTTTAACATTTTGTAATCCTCGTTGTGTCATTGATATGACAATTGAATACAATAGAATCAATATATTAATGTCACAATTGTAATTTTCATAAACAGGGATTTGTACATCTGTAAAGTTGTTCATACATGTATAATTTACGTTTTAGTGCTGTCGATATGCCAATATTGTGCGTTTCATTGTCCATAGAAACGTAAGTAAATGTACCTACGAATACTATTGAGATTACGTTGAATAAATCCATACATGAATCTCGATTATTGTGTTTGAGAATTAATACACTTAAGCAACCTCTGTGCTATGATAAAAAGTCTTTTCTGTTGTTTTATTCGAAAAATGTTAACATAATCTGGAATTATTGGAATTAAATGTTGGGAATTACACTGTTTTTGTGAGAAGATTCTTTAGGGTTTAAAATGTACAGAATGTATTAGTGTAGGCCTACATGATAAATAACCTAGATGAGGTGAAATAAACCATGCGTATGATTTGACATTCTCTTGATTTGTGCTTATGTTAAATTGCATTAATTCTGATGAAATGTAAAAGGAAATGGTAACACCAAATTTTAAGGTGACATAGTTACACATCTTTCTTACTATAGCAATAACAGTAAATTTTGCATAATTACAAGTAACTAATCCTTAACAAGCACATGAACTCAATTAAAATGACACTGTAACAACGTCACCTTAAAATGAAGTGAAACCAAATAAATGTATCAAATGAGAACAATTAAACAATAAACAATATTTTTAACCATTATTGTGCAGGCCTGAGTCTACGGAAGCGTATTGCATTCACTTGAGGAAAAAAATCTACTCTGTTTTTCTGAATTAACGAGTTAATTATCTCAGAATTATGAGATCATTTTTTCTTGAAAAACATTTTTTTCACTCTGTTTTTCTGAATTAATGAGTTACTCATAATTTTGAGATAATTAAGTCATTAATTCATAAAAACAGAGCAAAAACTTTTTTCCATGAAAAATTATCTCGTAATTCTGAGATAATTAACTCGTTAACTAGAAAAACAGAGTAGATTTTTTTCCTCAAGTGAATGCAATACGCTTCCGTATGAGTCAAATACTTGATCTCTTTAAACCGATTATCGAACTATTATGCAGAATAAAAGAATCACAGGCTGCCAACAGGAAAGCGGATGGTTTTTGTTTAAACAAACACTAGGAGACACACTTGCATTCACACAAACAGGCAGAGTCAGACAAGACAAATCAATAACAGAGAAACAGATCACTGGAGGAGGTATGCAGACACAGCGGGTGTAAGACTGAGTGAATACAGAACAGAAGAGAGAAATGCTTACTTTGGAAAGTCGCTTGTGAGACTAGCATGCATCGAGGAGAAAAACAGAAATCAGAAAACGGAACACAAATCAGAACAACCACAAACAGCGAGAAGAACATGATAGTCAAGTTTAGATCAAAGACATTTTATATGACATCAGCAAAAGTATTGAACTCTAGAAAGAAAGAAAAACCGGCAGAGTGAGTGACAAAATCAAAGAAAACCGGAAGAACAAGCGACTGTGAAAGCTGAAATGAGACAGACCGACAGAATGATGATGTGAGTTACTCTGCATTTCACATAATCATCTCTCCATTCACACTGTCATTCATTCCCACATGTGAATGTGATTTTTGAGATGTTTTGCATAGGAACATAGACATAGAAAGCTAAGCATAAACAAATCATCTGTTGTTTAGCCCAGTTTATTAGCGGTTCTTAGAAAACATATGAACAAATATCTCCGGGTCATTCTCAGAAAAAGATGTCAATTGACAGTGTTGTGTGTGTGTGTGTGTGTGTCTCCATCAAGGAGGTTTATAATATAAATCTATCCATACGCATTCAGGACAGAAAACAGAACAGTTTTTGAATGTCTTCCAGTAGAGACAGATGCTTTGTGGAAACATATGGTGTAGTTATACATATCCACCAGCAGGGGCCTAACTAAAGAATGCTTGTTTAACTTATTTGTTAGATTTTACAATATTTCATTTACATGCCAAATTATTTTTTTTATGTTTTTTTGTTTAGTATTTTCTATATAACAATAATGTAATATATATATATAATCTAAAGATATTAGTATTTGTATACAGCAAGGATGCATTAAATTAATCAAAAATGACAGTAAAGACATTTATAAAGTAAAAAAAAAATACTATTACAAATAAATGTGGTTCTTTTGAACTTTTTAATAATCAATGAGAATTTTATCATGGTTTGTAAAACAATATGAAGCAGTACAACTGATTTCAACATAAAAATAGATGTTTCTATAGCAGCAAATCAGCATATTATAATGATTTCTGAAGGATCATGTGACACTGAAGACTGGAGTAATGATGCTGAAAATTCAGCTTTGCTCACAAGAATAAACTACATTTGAATATATATTACAGCTATTTTAAAAAGTAATAATATTTCACAGTATTACTGTTTTTAATGACCAAATACATGCAGTCTTGGTGAGCAGAAGAGACTTCTTTCAAAAGTGTTTTTCAAAAGAAATGACAAAACATAAATACTAACATTTGCCTATAATAAATGGCACCGTTTCCTGAGAATGAGCCTTCGGATTGGGATTGGAGGTTCTGTGTTGTGTCTGTGGGTGATACTCTGTTCGGTCTTGACTGAACATGTTTTCATTGAATGCGTTTGCTGCTACTTCACCCTTTCCTGATTTCATATGTTCACACAACACAGGAGGTGTGAGGGTGAGCAGGTTTGCTTTCCTGTCTGAGATAGACTCGTTTAAACTAAAGTCACCTTTGAACATAACAATTTCAATGTGAAAATAAATATGTAAAACAATTTACAGCAATTTAGTATACCTGCATAGCACACTTTGTTGTAAAATGATGAAAAAAGTATGCGTTGGGTATAAAGACTGTAAAAGCAGCGGTGCTTTATCAAAGGATGCTTAGTAATAGAAAATCTGCCAAACCAGAGTCTATGCGTCTGACACATGCTATGATTGGACTACAACATATATATATACACTAGATGTCGCATTGGCTACAGAAGTTTATTGGAACGAATGCGTCAATAGAGCCGCCATCTTGGAACAGGGGAGCCCCTCCTCTTTAATGCATCAGCGTCAATGTAGGCAAAGGTCTAACGGAAATAAAATCACCATAAATCGTCATGAATGCGATGTTCAAGTTTTTTTGGTTCGTTCCAATGGTCAGACGTGTATTTTTTAGGGGTGTAACGGTTCACAAAATTCACGGTTCGGTTCCATACGATACACTTGTGTCACGGTTCGGTTCGGTACGTTTCCGATAAAAAGAAAGAAATGCCAGAGAAATTTCCATGATTTAATTTTTTTAATTATATTTTTATTAAAACTAACATCATAAAGTATGATATTTTTTTACTTTGAGCAATGATGGAGCTATACTTGACTTTTCTTAGGAGCTTATAAAACAAAACAGCTCCTTTGACAAAATGAAATGTAATATTGTAGTAGTTATAAACAAAGGTTTATTTTAGTTCAGATTAACATTTGAGGGCAGCAGTTGTATTCATAATGTCAAAATAAAACTGACGTGATGTTACTTGAAAGCATTATAGCCTACTATTCCTGCCAAACTCCCATGGTTACAGTTAGTAGTGTTACTACAGTAAACCCATGGTGAATGTTGCTGATCTGTGGACACTGGATAGTTCATTCATGGCACAATGTTTCTTCCTGGTTTCAGCGCTGTTTGATCCGTTAATAACGGAGAAATGTGAATGCTTCTCACTAGATCTCGCAGCGATGTTATTACTTCAGTGGCGAATTCAAATGCTTTCTTTACTGGATTTGGCTGTGTAGTAACAGTGCTGATGATTAAGATCGGCTCGCGCTGCATTGGTCCAAACTGATAAACGGTCCGTCAACCACACAATAACGAGTGGTTTCGTTCCGCTTACATTACATTTGCCATTTGATGTTGGGCAATGTTGTGGTCACGCCAGCGTCTCTTACATTATGAGTGCTTGCCACGCGTGACGCGCCTACATTTGAAATAACGAAATTTTGGTCGGCAGGAAAAATGGTCCAACGAACCGTTCGGTTCAAAAATGCGTACCGAAAACCGAACGCCTCGTACCGAACGGTTGAATACGTGTATCGTTACACCCCTAGTATTTATCATTGAGTCCAGAGAAAAAAACATTCTTCCTAGTTCAGATTTCGTTCATGTGACCATCCATACGCAGCACAAAAGTCCGAAAATCCATGAATTCGAAGTACAGGCGGAGATAGCAGCGTTACCTAACTACTTCCTATGACAAGACCCCTGTTTCAAGATGGCGGCGGTTTTAACGCATGCTTAGAACCCCAAGGCGACATCTAGTGTATATATCTATGGGACAACAAGAGGTGAGGTAGCAGGTAGGACCCTGGATCTCAGACAAGGCCGTTCAACATATTCATAAGTGCCTCAGATTCACTGTACAGCAGGTTTCCCCTGGAGAATGAGCTGAATGAGAAGGTCTTACCTTGGAGTTCTTGCCCCCGCTGCGCGTGGACTGTCCCGAGAAGGTGCGCGTGACCAGTTGCTCAGGGGTGGACGGGGACCTGGAGGTGTCGGACAGCTCAGAGCCTTTCTCCACCATGTTATCCGCCTCGACGTTCTGCAGAGTGGGAGAGCGACAGCGCTTCCGCAGAACCGGAGAGCAAGCAGGGGAACTCCGGTTAGAGTTACTGGCAGTGCTGGGGAGAACGAGAGACACAGAACACCACAATGGACACTTTTCACAGACTGTCATGACACATTTACACAGTTATTAACAATGTCCATTAAAAAACATTTATAATACTGTACTTTGTTTGAAATTTCCTTGGCATTAAATAACAGAAAACTGCTTTAAGTCGGCATGAAATGGAAGTTGTGATAGACTTTTCTTCCCTATTGTGAAGTACATCAGAGTGAAATGGCTTCTCAAAGAAGAAAAAATGCAGGGCGGGACTACATTTCCGTGGGGAATTGACTGGATGGTTGTGGATTGACAGGTTGTCCCGCCAGAGAAGAGATGTGTCAGGGTTCTGTCACTTCGGTGTGGTTTATTGTTGTTTGGTGACAGAGCCCTGACACTCAGACTGTCTCGTCATTATGAGCGTGTGCGTTTACGAGTTCGCCCCGGGCCATACGCTCTCCTGTTTTCTGTTTTTTTTTTGTGTGTGTGTGTGTGTGTGTATGTGGAGAATGGTGTTCAGATCCCGGCACTTCGGTCTAGTTTGGTTTCCGTTCTGTTGGGATTCAGGCATTCATGCTCTGTGTGTTTAAAGTAGTGATGTATGTCTCGAGACCAATTTTACGTGGTCTCTGTCTTGTCAAGGCCTTGACGGTCTTTGGTCTTGGTCTGGTCTTGGTCTCGGACCTCTCGGTCTTGCCTAGGTCTCGCTGTCTCAGACCGACATAGTGGTCGGGGGATTTAGCATTACAATATTACAATATCCACGACGATATCCGCAACGGATTGAAGCGCGCGTCCGAGTGAAGACAGTGCGGTGTGCGCGAGCCACACGAGGAAACACCATCCGCGCCACTGATCGCAGCGGCAACATGCACTTTGATCACTTGATTTAAAAAACACATATCATGTACAGTTTTTGATGTATTAATATTTAGTAAAACACATATCAGTGACATGATGGGTCATAACTTCATTCAGGAGATTTTGGGTAACTGCACAACTGACAGATGACTTTGAGCGCACCGCCAACGGTGTGTGTGTGTGTGTGTAACCAAAGCGACAAAGCAACCAACTTTCGGATCCTGCACTTAAGCTTATAATTTCGTTTTTAAAAATATAATTATGTATTTAAAAGTTGCAGAATGGATTCATTTGGAGACTTCGAAATCGGCAGAGATAGGCAGGCAATGCAAAACAAAATCTTACAAGTTATTGCTTAGCTTCAACAACACTAGTCTGTCACTCGGTCTTGGTCTCGACTTGGTCTCGACTTGGTCTTGGTCTCGACTTGGTCTCGGTCTCGACTTGGTCTCGGTCTCTAATTGGTCTTGGTCTTGACTTGGTCTTGGTCTCGACTTGGTCTCGGTCTTGGTCTCGGTCTTGACTTGGTCTCGGTCTCGACTTGGTCTTGGTCTTGACTTGGTCTTGGTCTCGACTTGGTCTCGACTTGGTCTCGACTTGGTCTCGGTCTTGGTCTTGGTCTCGGTCTCGACTTGGTCTCGGTCTTGGTCTCGGTCTTGACTTGGTCTCGGTCTCGACTTGGTCTTGGTCTCGACTTCGTCTTGGTCTTGACTTGGTCTCGGTCTCGACTTGGTCTCGGTCTTGGTCTTGGTCTCGGTCTCGGTCTTGGTCTCGGTCTCGACTTGGTCTCGGTCTTGGTCTCGGTCTTGACTTGGTCTCGGTCTCGACTTGGTCTTGGTCTTGACTTGGTCTTGGTCTCGACTTGGTCTCGGTCTTGGTCTCGGTCTCGACTTGGTCTCGGTCTTGGTCTCGGTCTTGACTTGGTCTCGGTCTCGACTTGGTCTTGGTCTCGACTTCGTCTTGGTCTTGACTTGGTCTCGGTCTCGACTTGGTCTCGGTCTTGGTCTCGGTCTTGACTTGGTCTCGGTCTCGACTTGGTCTTGGTCTCGACTTGGTCTTGGTCTTGACTTGGTCTTGGTCTCGACTTGGTCTCGGTCTTGGTCTCGGTCTCGACTTGGTCTCGGTCTTGGTCTCGGTCTCGACTTGGTCTTGGTCTCGACTTGGTCTTGGTCTTGACTTGGTCTTGGTCTCGACTTGGTCTCGGTCTTGGTCTTGGTCTCGGTCTTGGTCTCGGTCTTGGTCTCGACTTGGTCTCGGTCTCGACTTGGTCTCGGTCTTGGTCTCGGTCTTGGTCTCGACTTGGTCTCGGTCTCGACTTGGTCTCGGTCTCGGTCTTGGTCTCGACTTGGTCTCGGTCTCGGTCTCGGTCTTGGTCTCGACTTGGTCTCGACTTGGTCTCGGTCTCGGTCTTGGTCTCGACTTGGTCTCGGTTTGGTCTCGGTCTTGGTCTCAGTCTTGGTCTTGGTCTTGGTCTCGGCCTTGGTCTCGGTCTTGGTCTCGACTTGGTCTCGGTTTGGTCTCGGTCCTGGTCTCGACTTGGTCTCGGTGTTGGTCTCGACTTGGTCTCGGTCTTGGTCTCGACTTGGTCTCAGTCTTGGTCTTGGTCTCGGTCTTGGTCTCGGTCTTGGTCTCGGTCTTGGTCTCGACTTGGTCTCGACTTGGTCTCGGTCTTGGTCTCGGTCTCGTCTTGGTCTCGATACCCTCTGGTCTTGGGAGTGTCTTGGTCTCGGTATAGACGGTCTTGACTACAAGTCTAGTTTAAAGTAATGAGCATTCACTCATTCTCGTGCGTGAGTGTGTATTTTCAGGTTCACTCGGGCCGGCTTCTGTCCGCGTGTTCTGTGTACGCGCTTTGTGTTTTTCTTCGGTCACGTGCTTTCATGTTGTCATGTTTGTTTCTATGTGTCATGTGCTCTCCTGTCTATCGTCTTAACCCCGTCCTTGCTGTTACCTGATTATAGGTTTATTTGTCCTACTTGTCCTCCCTAGTTCCCTGCTTTGTTTGCTCTCCCTTTTTATTCTCCCTGTGTTTGCAGTCCTGGGCCGGATGGTTGTCGTATGTGCGTATCATGTTTACCTGCTCCCTGTTGTTTCCTGCCTTGTCCTGCCTAGTCCAGCCAGTCATGCTTTCCCCCACGCGGTAGTTTTTGTTTGATTTGTTTTATTTTTTTTTATTAATAAAAAGCCCATATCTGCATTCTTGAGTCCTCGCCTCATCCCTTCACCCATCCCTGACAAGATGTCGCTGCAAGAGGGAGGAGAAGTTATTTTGATTAAAGATTACGAGGCACATGAAGAAAAAAAATAATGATGTGCACGGATAAATCATTTATAATAAATGCAATATTCCATAAAAAAATAAGAATTGTTTATTTTGACTTCATGGTTCTACTATACGGCTGGGGAGTGACGCCATATTTGAAATATTATATTTCCTATTTTGGAAAGTCATGGAAAGACTCATGGATTTCTTCTTTTGTTATTCGAGCAAATGGGAAAAAAAGTTTACCCAACTATGATGAATCAAATATAAGAACACTGGAAATGAGAAAAGGAGCCAATATCAAGAACTTAAAGCTCTAGAAAGATTATGTTGTCATTTGATTTCTTGGAAAGACAACTTCCAAACACTACCAATGAAATCCACATAAACATTGTAGGCGTATCCTATTATGTCACATGGCAAACATACACTCTTTGGCTTGCTTGTGAAAAAGAAGCAGGATCTTTGTAATTATTATGAGGTAATTTCTCTACAAATAAAGATTATGTCCAGTGCACTGTTACAGTACAACATGACTGACACCTTTACTGATCAGCAGGTTCAGTGTGGTTCTGTTTAGGGGTCTATGTAGGCGAGGGCTTTAGGTCCCAATACGGCAGCATCCATTTATAAATAAATGGACCAAAAAAAAAACTATATAACCATATACACTGAATATGTGATTGCTGCATAGTGTTTTATAATTTACTACAATATACTGATGTGCAAATAGCATGCCAATATTACACGAAGTATAAATAGCATCTAAGTACTGTTTACACTTTGTGCAAAGAAAATACTGCTTATGTTAGTAGCATTGATATACTGTTATGGTTTTGTTAATATTTTGAATTAGATTTTATTTTTATATTTTCATTTTAGTTACAATTTTTGTAATTTTGTAATTGTTATTATTTATTTATTTTAAATAAAAGTTGGGAACATTTACATTTTTAAATGATTTTTAAAAGAAGTGTCTTCTGCTCACCAATGCTGCATTTATTTAACTAAAAATACAGTAAAAATAGTAATATTTTGAAATATTACTACAATTTAAAATAATTGTTTTCTATTTTAATAAATGTAAAAAATGTATTTATTCCTGTGACACAAAGCTGAATTTTTAGCATCATTACTCCAGACTTCAGTTCCGTTTTAATTTTTTTTTTTTTTTTTAGTTTTCTTTAGTTGTATCTATTTTGTACTTCAATTTAAATTAAATTAAATGTTGCCTTGTCAACTAGCTGAAATGAAATAAGTTTTACATATTTATTTCAGTTAATGTTTATTTTATTTCAAGTAATGGAAATGTTTTATAGGGTTATTAACGATAATAACCCTAATTCAAATACAGTGGACTGAAAAATACAATAATTACATATCTTAAGTAAAACAGATTTATTTCTATCAAAATAAAATAAATGAATTATATTAAATAAATAAATAACGAATAAAATATTATACTATTAATAGATGTATTATCATATATATTAACATTATTTTAATACAGTATATTATGTTATATAATATTATAAAATATTATACATTGTATTTGACCTAAACAACTCATATGAGCCTACTTTAAACACCAATAAACTTAAAATCCCCACACGAATGCCACTGACCAGCATAAGTCCTATAAACACCACAGACGTAACAAAGTCCACCGCAGACAGACTGATGTCACTATAGATGCACACTTATCAAATGAACACAAACACAATTCCACACACACACTAGTTCAGACCCGTATGTAAATCTATCACAACACTTGCTGGCTTGTCTCTGGATGCTCGACTCTCTCCAGCTTCGAACGGGAGCAACTTGGTCACATTACAGGGTCTTATGCAACGTCTGACGTCACTACTAGCCAATCACAATTGTAAAACCAG